TTTAGCCACTTTGGGGGACTAAAACTGTGGTATTTACGCGGGTTCTTGCCAGCTGACAGCGCAATATGCTGTAAATTACAGCACTTTGTGCGCTGTTTATGTTCAATTTTTAAACCGCGATGCTTTCACATGTTCTTTGCATTATTTTGCACTCTTCCACAAGAAACAACGTTGCAGATTGAAACTGGACGACAGCGTGACCCGAAAGAAAGCTGGAGGGAGGAGACGCACAGAAGCTTTTACCCACACACACAGGGGCTTTTACACAGAGAAGTCTTTACACAAAGGAGCTTTTTACATACAGAAGGTTTTACACAGAGAAGTCTTTACTCTAAGGTGCTTTTGCAGACCAACGTCTAGGAGCTTTTACTCACAGAAGTTTTTACACGAAGAAGTCTTTACACAGAGGGCTTTTTACACACAGACGCGTTTGCACACAGAAGCTTTTACACAGAGAAGCCTTTACACAGAGGAGCGTTTACACACCAAAGCGTTTACACACAGCAAGCTTTTACACACGCAGGGGCTTTTACACATTTACACAGAGTAGCTTTTTACACACAGAAGGTTTTACACAGAGAAGTCTTTCCTCTGAGGAGCTTTTTCACACAAACGTCTTGGAGCTTTTACACACAAAAGCTGTTACACAAAGAAGTCTTTACACAGAGAGCTTTAACACACAGACGCGTTTACACACAGAAACTTTTACACAGAGAAGTAGCCTTTACACAGAGAGTTTTTATACACGGAAGCTTTTACACACAGAGAAATCTTTACAAAGACGTGCTTTCACACAGAGAAGCTTTTACACAAAAAAGTCTTTACACAAAGTGGTTTTTACACACAGAAACTCTTACACACAAAAGCTTTTACACAGAGAAGTCTTTGCACAGAGGCGCCTTTACACGAAGTAACAAGTTGAAATCGGCAGCAGTTCTTTAGGAAAAACCCTTCGCAGGAGCTTTCGGGAACTCACTTGCTCCCCAAAAAATCGTCTATTCCAACAAATACGTTCCAAAAAACCTAAGGAATATATTTCTGAAGCAGGTCCTCATTCAGTAACTTTCACGCCCACACTGCGATGAAATGGAGGGCCGAGTGGTCCGGCGGAGCCGACGAGGGGCGTCAGCCCAAAAATCCGGCCAGGGGCCCCCTGGCCGTGGCATTGCCGTACGGCAGTTCTCTCCTCTCCGTAGGAGAGAGGGGCCGCCGCCCCAGCCGCCGACACCTTTGCCCGCCAAAAACCCCCGCGTTTTACGGTGCTTTGTGCTCTTCCAATTTTTTCCCATTTTTCGGATCTTGTGGCTCAAGATGGGTCAACATGGGCCAACATAGGCCGCAAGATGGGCCAACATAGCCCCAAGATGGGCCAACATAGCGCCCAAGATGGGTCAAGATAGCCCCAAGATGGGCCATCATAGCTCCAAGATGGGCCAACATGGCCCCAAGATGGGCCAACATAGCCCCAAGATGGGCCCACATTGCCCTCAAGATACGCCAACGTAGCCCCAAGATGGGCCAACATAGCCCCAAGATAGGCCGCCGACCGTCAAAATATCCTGCGTTTTACAGTGATTTTTTGCTGTTCCCATTTTTCGGCTCTTTTGGCTCAACATGGGTCCACATAGGCCTCAAGATCGGCCCACATAGCTTTCAAGATAGGCCAACATAGCCCCAAGATGCCACAAAATGGGCCAACATAGTTGGGCCCCTGGCCGGCTGTCGCGCGTAAGCGCTTAAATTCGGCTCCGCCGGCTCCCCACGAGTGGCTTGCCCTACGAGCGTCCCAGAGCGACTAGAGCTCTAAGGTAAGGCCGCCCCAAGCCGCCGACCCTCCGACGCCGGGCCCCAAAAAATACCAAAAATCCTTCAGGAGGGTGGGGGAGAGCTTTTTAGACGGAATCCGGTCGCTCATAAGCGTCTCCAAGAGCAAAATCCCGCCCCCCCCCCGTTTGGAGGGTACCTAAAATCGGAAAAAAGCGCCGTTTTGACACATTTTTCGGACGAGTTTTCGCTTTTCGAAAGTTTTAACGTCTTTTGCGGGAGCCATGCAAAAACGCAGAAAATGCTGTAAATACCAATACTTTTTGGACCCGAGATGCACAAAACACTGCAAATACCAGTGTTTTTGAAAGCCAAGCAAAAAAACTCCGTAAACTACAGCATTTTTGGCAGGATGATCGCAAAAAATGCTGGTATTCACAGTGTTTTTGCAATTTCAAGAAAACGTGGAAGGCACGAAACACTGTAAATAGCGGTGTTTTGGCCACTTTTGGACGCCGAAACGCTGGTATTTACGCAGTTTTTTGCCCGTGGCGGCGCCAAACCCCTGTAAATTACAACATTTTCGTCCCTTTGTTGAACCGATTTTTTGCGTTGATGAACGCAAAAAACGCTAGTATTTACGCGGTTTTCAAAAAATCGAAGATCGTGACGTGAACGAAACCGTGTAAATAACAGTGTTTTAGCCACTTTCGGGGACTAAAACTGTGGTATTTACGCGGGTTCTTGCCATCTGACAGCGCAAAATGCTGTAAATTACAGCACTTTGTGCGCTGTTTATGTTCAATTGTTTAACCTGCGATGCTTTCACCTGTTCTTTGCATTCTTCCACAAGAAACAATGTTGCAGATTGAAACACAGAAGCTTTTACACATACAGGGGCTTTTACACAGAGAAGTCTTTACACAAAGGAGCTTTTTTCACACAGAAGGTTTTACACAGAGAAGTCTTTACTCTAAGGAGCTTTTGCACACAAACGTCTAGGAGCCTTTACACACAGAAGCTGTTACACAAAGCAGTCTTTACACAGAGGGCTTTTTACACACAGACGCGTTTGCACACAGAAGCTTTTACACAGAGAAGCCTTCACACAGAGGAGCTTTTACACACAAAAGCATTTACACACAGCAAGCTTTTACACACACAGGGGCTTTTACACAGAGAAGTCCTTACACAAAGGAGCTTTTTACACACAGAAGGTTTTACACAGAGAAGTCTTTACTCTAAGGAGCTTTTGCACACAAACGTCTAGGAGCCTTTACACACAGAAGCTGTTACACAAAGAAGTCTTTACACAGAGGGCTTTTTACACACAGACGCGTTTGCACACAGAAGCTTTTACACAGAGAAGCCTTCACACAGACGAGCTTTTACACACAAAAGCATTTACACACAGCAAGCTTTTACACACACAGGGGCTTTTACACAGAGAAGTCCTTACACAAAGGAGCTTTTTACACACAGAAGGTTTTACACAGAGAAGTCTTTACTCTAAGGAGCTTTTGCACACAAACGTCTAGGAGCTTTTTCACACAGAACTTTTTACACGAAGAAGGCCTGACAGAGAGAGTTTTTAAAAAACAGACGCGTTTGCACACAGAAGCTTTTACACAGAGAAGCCTTACACTCTACACAGAGGAGCTTTTACACACAAAAGCATTTACACACACAGGGGCTTTTACACAGAGAAGTCCTTACACAAAGGAGCTTTTTACACACAGAAGGTTTTACACAGAGAAGTCTTTACTCTAAGGAGCTTTTGCACACAAACGTCTAGGAGCTTTTTCACACAGAACTTTTTACACGAAGAAGGCCTGACAGAGAGAGTTTTTACACACAGACGCGTTTGCACATAGAAGCTTTTACACAGAGAAGCCTTTACGCAGAGGAGCTTTTACACACAAAAGCATTTACACACAGCAAGCTTTTACACACACAGGGGCTTTTACACGGAGAAGTCTTTACACAAAGGAGCTTTTTTCACACAGAAGGTTTTACACAGAGAAGTCTTTACTCTAAGGAGCTTTGCACACAAACGTCTAGGAGCCTTTACACACAGAAGCTGTTACACAAAGAAGTTTTTACACAGATATATAGCTTTCACACACAGACGCGTTTACACACAGAAGCTTTTACACAAAGAAGTCTTTACACAAAGTGGTTTTTACACACAGAAACTTTTACACACAAAAGCTTTTACACAGAGAAGTCTTTGCACAGAGGCGCCTTTACACGAAGTAACAAGTTGAAATTGGCAGCAGTTCTTCGGGAAAAACCCTTGGCAGGAGCTTTCGGGAACTCACTTGCTCCCCAAAAAAGCCGTCTATTTCCAACAAAGTTCCTATTCCATGAACTTTTTTCAAAAAAACATAAGGAATATATTTCTGAAGCAGGTCCCCATCCAAAAGCTTTCAAGCCCACACTGCGATGAAATGGAGGGTCGAGAAATCCGGCGGAGCCGACGAGGGGCGTCAGCCCTTAAAATCCGGCCAGGGGCCCCCTGGCCGTGGCATTGCCGAACGGCGGTTCTCTCCTCTCCGTAGGAGAGAGGGGCCGCCGCCCCTGCCGCCGACCACTCCCCCCCGCCAAAAACCCCCGCGTTTTACGGTGTTTTGTGCTCTTCCAACTTTTTGCCATTTTTCGGATCTTATGGCTCAAGATGGGCCAACATGGGCCAACATAGGCCTCAAGATGGGCCAACATAGCCCCAAGATGGGCCAACATAGCCCCCAAGATGGGCCAACATAGCCCCAAGATGGGCCAACATAGCCCCAAGATGGGCCAACATAGCCCCAAGATGGGCCAACATAGCCCCAAGATGGCCCACATTGCCCTCAAGATAGGCCAACGTAGCCCCAAGATGGGCCAACATAGCCCCAAGATAGGCCGCCGACCATCAAAATATCCTGCGTTTTACAGTGTTTTTTTTGCTGTTCCCATTTTTCGGATCTTTTGGCTCAACATGAATCAACATGAGGCCAACATAGCCACAAGCTGGGCCCACATTGCCCGCAAGATAGGCCAACATAGGCCAACATAGGCCAGCATAGCCACAAAATGGGCCTACATAGTTGGGCCCCTGGCCGGCTGTCGCGCGTAAGCGCTTAAATATTGAAACAAAGGGGAAAAAAACACTCAGACTCCGCCCCTTGGTTTCGACTTTCGACACATTCCGACGCATTCCGACACATTCCGACGGATTCCGACGCACGCCGCACCTGAATGGACTGGAAGAGGATGTAGATGAAACTCATGAAACTCAGCAAACTGGCGATCAGGAAGGCGGATGGGAAAAAGAAGGCGTCCTGCGAGTTGAAGGGTTTCAGAAAGGTCCGCCTAAGGGCTGATGCTTGCGGCGCATCTGTAGCTCGGAAGGACAGGAGTTCCTTCATCTTTCTGTGTGAGTACTCTTCGAAGATGTTCTGCCTCTTTACAGCAAAGGTGGTTGAGCGCGAACTGAGCTGCGCGGACATGCCCCAGATCAAGGCAATGGCAATGAAGATGAAGTTGGCAATGGCAAAGTAGATCCAAGATCCATACATCGAATCCTGATGAATATAGATTCGTCTGGGATTCCAGGTGTATGTTAGATCACCAGAGGATGTTTCATCTGTCAATTTTTTGGATGATGTGAGCAAACAAAATCAGGTCGACTTTTTTGGGCTGTCCGTTGACCACCAGGTGTTATGTCACAATATGTGACAATGATTGTATCGGTGAAATTAATCATCGTAGATTTAATGGAACCATTGTGGGGGATCATCTTTGATCAATACCCCAATATATATTTCCAGGTATCTACAATATGTGATTGATAAAAAATATATTATGCCGATATTTGTACAGATATATCATATATATATATATATCATATATATTGGTGATACAATATACCAAATGGATCCAAATGGTATCTGAGTTGCCGCTGTGATGGAAAAACTTCGGAAATAGAATGACAATGGAGCAACTACCAGGCGTAGCTGCAGCAGGTCTTTTCGAGAGGAGCTATGATTCATTTGTGGCCCAAGATATTCCTATTTACTGGTTAGATCTGGCTAGATTATCATATAGTTGATGATTGATTGCTTAGTGGCTTAGTGGCTTAGTTTTTCCATCTTTGTTTCCATCTTTGTTCCATATCTTAGATCTTTTTCCACATCTGATCCCGGACCTTGTGCAGACTCATCAAGGGTAATGCCAGTGACAATCCCAGGGTACAGAGGAGTGACAGTATGAACCAACCCCAGTGGTGCTGCGTGACGTTGGAAATCAGCAAAATCACGGCCACAATGGCTGCCATGGCAGATAAAAACCAGTTGATGAAGAGGTCCACTGGATCTTTCGGAGCCAAAGTCACACTGAAAGAATCTCCAGTTCCTTCCACACCATTCACCGAGAGAGCGAAGGCATATCGCAAGCCTTCTTTGAAGTTGAAGCTTAAGCTCTTATTGACGCTGTAGAGGCAGCTACTCTCATTGCCATTGCCATTGCCAGCTGTGCCAGCTGGCTGCAAATCGCTCAAGAACAGCTCCCACGTTCCTTGAATGGCCATTTCATGTGCAGGTTGGAGATTCGATCCCGCAGACCTGAGAAAAACCCGGACACCCCAATGGGGGTGATGACGACTCGGTGGGGGGTTATCAGGATACATCATGAGTTTCCCCTCATCCATACTGCCCATACTCCATCTCTGGAAAAAAAAGAACCTGATGCAACTTGGCCACATGAGAATATCCGTGAATTGATTCAGAGACTGCGTAGCATCCAGGGCATTTGCATCCATGCCCAGTGCTTCAGCCAAGCTTGCTGCTTGCTCACCAACTAAGCCTTCAATGGCCTCAGAGCCAAGCATCACAAGAATCTGTGATGTCTCAAGATGACAAGAATGCCATCGGAAGATACCCTCTGGTTATGTCAAAATAGCTATTGAAAATGGCCCAGTCGAAATAGTGGATTTACCCATTGAAAATGGTGATGTTCCATAATTATGTTAGTTTACCAGAGGGTATATGATCTTTATATATCTGTATATCATGTCTCGATTCACTTTGCGAAAAACAATTCACCGCAAAGAGACTTTGGGTCATCACGAGGCCACCTCACCAAGACAGGCATGATGATTACCTTCCCACGTTGGCAACTTCTTGGTTTTTTGGATTTTTGGGTCACATGTTGGACATACAAAAAATTGCCACGCTGCAGAATGAATCACTTCAATCAGATTGCTCTATCCTCCAAACAGACTAGTGTGGTAAACCCAATGATAAACCATCCCGTTAACCAACCATTTAAGAGAATCATTCTATATCATCCCAATCGTATACCCAATTTCATTTCCCCGGTTGCGGTCCCAGTTGCCGTTGCATTGCCAAAGCTGGATGCCAAGACCATGGCTGGGTCGCCGCTCTGCAGCAGCAGAGCAGGTGTGTTGTAGCAAGCTTCTGCAAACTCTTCTGAGAGTCCAATGAACATTCCTCCCACGCTTCACATGCTTCACATGCTTCACATGCTTCACATGCTTCACATGCTTCACATGCTTCACATGCTTCACATGCTTCACATGTTGCAACAAACTGGGGATATCATGTGGCAGAAACAATCCAAAGCTGAAGATATGGAGTCTCCAAAAAAAAATGGTGGTACCCCCAAATCATGCAAAATTGGACCGTTTCAGTCTTGAAATCGGTGACTTGGGGATCCCCCATTTCAACAACCCGGATTTTGCCCGGATTCCTTTGCGTTTGCTACTGGCACTCGCAACCATCACCTCCACAGCCCTTCGCAAGGCCGGGTTATTGGTCTGACTGATGCGTGCAGCCATGGCATTGGCGGAGTCACGACCTTTCGCTACTGCAGCTTTCTTGGCATCCTGGACTAAGCGGCTGGCCATGGATTCCTTGCTGCTGGGTGCCCCCTTCAATGTCAGGGTCATCGAGAGTTTGATGCCCTCAGATTGCATCTTCTGCAAGGACTCACCACTGGCAGATTCGATGCAGAATTCTGGCGCTTTCCCCACCGGCACAGGTTTTCCAAATTCTGCAATTTCCAAGTGAGAAAAGGATGCGGAGCCACTCACAGAAATGGTGTTCAGCACTTTGAAGGCACTTGTTTGCAACACGATCTTTGCATCGGGCACATCTGGCTGGAACTGCAATTGATAAGTACCGCTGCTTGCTCGAGTCACTGTAAGTGGAAAACCGATGATTCCAGAGGCATCGCTAACTCTCACAGTGGTCAAAGGATCCAATTCCACGTTTTGATCTGCCACAGTCCCAAGAGAGTTCCCTTGAGCTGCCAAGGTCTGTAGCAAATTTGGATTTGTGCTCCCAGGTGCCATGGCTTTCAGAGCTTTGATCCCCACACGAACTCGAGCATCTCTCACTGGACCCCCACTGGCAGTCAAGACTTGTACCCGCATCAGAAACATCTGACCTGGCGTCGGAAATTCCAATGGAACCATCGGAACCGAAATTCCTGAAACATGTGTCAAGAATAGATATCTGCACTATAAATGTAAATATAGATGTAGTAATACAGATATAGATATAGCTATATATATATATACATATAATATATATATATATGTGCGCTAAATGGACTCAATGGATAGATACATCCCGACCCTGGCAGCCCAATTTCATTGACTTTCCCGTGCCTACCAGCACCGAGTCAGGCGGAGGCAGCAAAATGGCATATTGGCTCGCAGCCGTCTCGGCGGAAATCTCTGGCGTCATCGTTTCTTCGATGAGTTCTCGGGAGTACGCGGCAATTCCCGTGCACTGGGAAAACCTCAGTTCGGGCACAGCCTGGGGGGGATGGCCAACCATTGGAACACTACCCTCCCAACGACTGGAATCGTTGCAAAAATGATTGTTTATTGAGGGATTCCACAGTAAATCCCATAGTTCAAGCATTTTCTCAACTTTCTAAAGTTTTGCATCATCATCTGCGGTTGTGCTCCAAGTGCACCTGCGGTGCACTTGTCGATGCTCTCTGGCGCTCACAGATCTATGCAGCGTTGATTTTTCGGAAATGTCGGAGTCCGGTTGGACATTGTTGATGAAAAGAGTCAAATAGTCGCTTCCAAAAAACAAAGACTCAAAGATACTCAAAGATACTCAAAGCTTCAGAAAGTCTTCGCCATGAAACTGTTCCTGCGGTGTCATGTTCTGAAAACCAGCTGGCAGTGGCCAGCCCAGACTCCAGCCATCCGATCCAGAGAGGTCCGTGACTCTCAACTTGATCTTCGCAGGATTTGAGATCCGTCGTACCCAGTTCACACGTAGAAAGCTGAAACGAATCACCGGAAATGGAGAGACCTGCACCATTTCCAGGTTAGTGCAACGTTGCAATGGCTCGACAAAGTTGTCGAATAAACCTGAGTTGTCATGCAAAATGTGTTGATGGACAAACTCATGTTGAGAAAATCAATGAATTCTGAAGAAACATTGTCAAACAAAATCATGTTGGACCTGTTTCATCAAACATGAAACATCCAGGCATCATAAATGGCTGGGATTTCCCATATCATCCCCTGTAAAAGGTAGGCCTGGTAGGCTTTCCAGGCCCAGAAACACACCGCATCACCCAACAGTCGCGGAGAGAGCTCCATGGAGATCTCGCTTTCCACGTCTGTCCCACCCTCACTGGAGATCAGAAGTCGAGCAATAAGCCCACCTGCAACGCCAGAAGCGCCGGTGTCAGGGAACCAACAGGTGGAACCAACGAACCAACGGGGAGAAGATAAAGCTGGAGTGGATATAATGTATGAAATGTATGACTGGTGGTTTTAACCATCTTGAAAAATATGAAAGTCATATGAAGGATTATCACATATATTATGGAAAATAAAACGGTTTGAAATCACCAACCAGGTATGATAATGTATGGCGATTTGATTGTGTTTTTTTTTTCGGAATGATGAATGTGTTCTCGAATGACATTCAGCATCGGCACCCCAAAAAAAATACCATAATACATCATAATACATCATTTAACAATTATAAACATCATATACCAGGAATACATCGGCCATATACCCATTATATCATATAAATTCATATTAAATATCCCATGATATTTTCCATCCTAGTCCCATGATGTGTGCCGCCATGTGTGTGTCGCCTGTGTACTGAGTGATCTGTGGTAACTCGACTCCAAAACGTGGCCGCAGTTCCACCGTGATCATCCCATTGAACTCCTGGAGTTCCAGGTTCAACGGCCAGGAGAGCGGCGGTTGGGTGACGATGACGTAGTTGAAAGGACGCTCCAAACAGATAGGCGCCGCACTGGGCACGGCCACAGAAGTCACCCCTTCAGCTAGGAAGCGAAATCCTCAGAGATGGAGAAGATGTGAGTCTAAATTGTCTAATGATGTCCAATGGTGTCCAATGTCTTTGAGTCTTTGATGAAGCTTTGTCTGGTGAGTCTGAAATTCAATGAAAAGAGCATCTTCCCCATCTTCCCCATCTTCCAAGGATCTTGTACATCCAGCTCCATCAGGCACACCCATCACTGACCAATATAGCAGGCCATCTTCGGCCGGGCCTAAACCTCGAGCCAAGATGCCGGCTGGCGCCGGCAAGAAGTTCAGTTCAGCATCCAACATCCAGGTACCACTGAGACTTATCGAAATTCAGCCAAGCATCTGTTTCCAAAACCGTCATTCCCAGTGATGCCAGATGGAAGTGAATATAGGAAAGGATACATCGAGTACATGTTCACCCGAGTTAGCTTCCTTGCGAGTCAGCGACTGAAAAGCAAAAAAAATACAGCGACCATCAGGGATGCTAGTTCTAACTTGCCTGTTGTAGCGACTTACAAGCTTTGACGGAGTTATTTAAGTAGGCATATATTCAAAATATGTTGAAATATACATTATACGCATCATTAATAATATTATATGATATGTATAATCCACAACCCACATGTTCACCATGACTATAGCCGTTACAAGACATATAGATCAGGGACCCTGGCGACACTGGCCATTCGATCCACCTCTCGCCGGGTTTCTCAAAGGAGGCACCCGCTTCTGGCACCACCTCATAGGTCACGATGAGACCTGAGAAATCTCCAGAGGTCTCGCAAACACATCTCGCATCACCAAATCACCAATCACCAACCAGTCATTCTTTGTATCATCCTACAATGGTTCAATGGTCTACATCTACGATCGTCATGAGCTACAGCTACAATCTCTATACATGAGCTCTTCATTTTCACTGCGGGCTGAGAGCCATTCACAGGTCCACTGTCACTGAGGACTCGTAGCTTCGGCTGCACATTGAACAAGTTGCCCGTCATCGCACGGAAGGTGGTGTAGCCCGGATCCTGCCATGCCATACCGGGTCCATGGGTGGTGGGATCCGGTGCACATCGATGCACCCAGGTTACCACGGTCACCCGAAATGGGCACTGAAGAAATCATCGGCTCCTGTATCACTTCCAAGCGCAGTCCGGGGGGAGGCTTCACCCTGGGCCATGTCAAGTGCAAAATGTGCAAAGCTACTGTGGTTCCAGCTCCAGTGAGAAGGGAATGTACAAATGGGAGAGATACTCCAACCATCTCCAACCATTGCTTGTGCTATTCAAATAGCCCATTTCAAGAGAACCCATTTCAATAGAAATTGGAGATACCGAACTTCACAAAAGTGAAAAATAGCATTCAAAACAGGGACTTTCAAGGCCTGAAGGTGAAAATACGAGTCTTCACTCCAAAGCCGGAGAACCTCGGCAGATTCGCTTCAGGGTGCGGTGTGGCATCCGGCCCAACGGAAAATCGGGGTTCAAAAGCCTGGGAAAACAGAGGGAAAGCAGACAGAACGGAGCGTTGGACGGAGTCAAATAGCTGATATGGCAAACAATATCCAGTTGATAAGTCAAATATGTTAACAATATTGCTTCTTGATCTACTTGAGCTTCTTGATGCATTATTGTTGCTGTTCCAGTTGGTGCGTTCGTGCATCGAACAGAATCGCTGCCAGAGCTGGCCTTCAACCTGGACCCTTACGGGCAACTTAAGGAGTTCACCGGCCATTTGGGGGCCCCAAAATGCGTCAAAATGCCATCTTCGCAGATGGACAGTTGCAGCCGGGTTGCTGGAGTCCGAAATTACCATAGATTCCTTGCCTGGTGAAGTTTGGTGAGTTTCAGAATCGCTGAGTTTTCATGATTCTTTCGTGATCTGATGACTCCAATGGAAAAAATCGCCACGAATTGGACGGAATTCTGCCACGATGCTGGAGCAATTGGAAACGGAAGTGCATCTTTCCAGTTGTGGGATCAAATCCTTGAGCATTCGTGCTGGCGGTCTTGTTCACCTCAGGATAATGATGCAACATGAGCTTCAAGTCGGGCAAAAACATAGTATGTTATATGATATTATATGCTGTTCAATTGGTTCAAGTGTTTTCAATGTGTTTCACACTTCCTTATCTTCCTTGCTAGCCTAGCTGATCGTAAAACTTCACAACTTCCAAGCAGCTGGATAGATCACATGGAAATCGCTTCGGTCGCCGGCAGCCATCGGGTCGTCAGTTAGGCCTCAAGCAAATCCTCTCAGGCTCTGAGGCTTACTTCGTTTTCACTTAGTTTTCACTGAGTTTTCATCAGCACTTCATCATGTACGACTTAAAATCGGATGGCAAATCGGCAAATCCCATGACTCCAAGAAGCCCAGGATCCGGTGATAGGTAAAGGGTGCATTTCTGAAGACGTAGGTCAGGCCGCACCTGGGCTTGAATCATGCGAAGTCAGAATGAGGCTATCTATGACAGGTACATTACAAGATATTACAAATATGTATGCTGTACTTCAAAAAGGAATCAAAATCTAAATCTCTGGAAACCACAGTTGTGGATTGGTTACAGCATGTTGCAGCAAAGCAGTCGTTTTTGGCTACGACTTTTTGATCCATGATATGATAAAAATATCCCCGTTCCCAATTGGCATAGAGGGATTGAGCCAAGTGTTATACGTAGCTACATCTGCCCATACATGGCCAAAGATTGTATGAAAATGTGAGCACTTTCTCTGTAATTCTGATGTACAGAATACCTCCTCTGAAGGCCAGAATTTGAGTCTACAAAAATAGGCCATGGATCTCATATGGTTCACATGTTGGCATCTGAAAATCCATCCATTTTTCGAAGACTTTAAACTTTCGTAGAAGGCTTTTTCGGTGGTCCTAAGTGGCGCCTAACCCTGGGGCTAAACTTTGGGCCGGACTTCATCAAGCTCACTTGCAGTACTGTACATATCAGTAGGCATAGATAAACAAAAAATACACCAAAAGACTATGAACCACTAAAAAAACGGTTCATGTTCCTTCTTTGTATTGAATTTCATTGACCAAGTGAGAGCCTGTAAAATTCAATGTGTCCAGTGGGGGCCGGACGGGGGCAGACTTGAAACCTGACCTGCTTGAAGATGTTCAAAGAGTGAGGGATCGAAACCAAGCAAAAAAAATTGAAACCTCAGTGATGTCAAATTCAATATCGCTTCATGAGATGCTGGTGAGCTGGTGAGCCATACCGCAACATGAACCACTATGAAGTGAGGGGCTCTAATTGATCCTAAACCATGCCTGTTAACATCTGTTATCTAACCATATGAAGACGGGACACAATTTACAGAAGTGACAGGCACAAATTTACCTCCTGGAATGTACCGTTTATTTGTGAAGGGTGGCCAGGCCAGTGAATTTTGGCTAGGACCATCCAGGGGATCCCAAGCCAAAGCACGGGGCATAGAAACTTGAGGCCAGGTAGAGGCATTGTGGGATGTTGCTCAGGTCGGATTCGTTCACAAAGGCGCTGTCAAGGACCATACCTCGTGGGTTTTATGTTACATCACCATCTCACGCGGACATCTCACAGTTCACATCATTCACATCATTTACATCATTTACATCATTTACATGTCCAGAAGAGTCGAAGATATTTGAAGAATATTTGAAGAATATTGAAGAATATTGAAGATTCCAATGTTCGCCTGTCAATTTCAGAAATGCTGCCCTAGCCACGGAGCTCAATGTCAATAAATCCTCCTGCTTCGATTTCCGTGTCCTCAGTTCCAGCGTGTTCCAGTGATCACCATCCCCCATCCCACTATGGGAATCAGTGGCGTTAAGGTGAACATTCGGAAGAATCAGATTCTGAGTCTAAGACAGTCTCTAAGACAGTCTCAGAATGTTTGTCCAAGAATAAGGTAAACAAAAACACCTAAAATATCTCAAAATATCCAATTAATCCAATTGTCTACATTTAAGTCGACCCTCATTTTTCCCATGTCAAAAACCAGCAAAATGAGACCAGGATTCATAAAGACTGCCTTCTCCTCCATCTCCAGACAATTCGATGTCGCCAATGACATTCTCAATCCGCATCGGAATCTCAGCGTGCTGAACGCTGATTTACAAAAATCATGAAACTGTTTATATGGTGAACCATATGGTGAACATATTTAAGTGAACATATTAAATAGTGAACCATTAATGGTGAACCATTAATGGTGAACATAAAATGTGAACCTTTAAGAAACTTGAAAAAACGTTGCAAAAGTTGGGCGTTCAACGGGTTTTTTCATGTCCCATTGAGGCGTTCAGCATGCTTCAGCATGATTCAGCTAAGATGCTGATCTCGAATAGCACGTCTGTTTCTTTCCATTCGGCTCGTTTATTTCAACTGCAATCCTGCAATAGAATGGAACAGAATCCAATGATGCAGCGGAAAATGAGGTGAGACATGCATTTTTTTAGCATGGTGAGTCAAAATCCATTGAGTTTTGCTACACCACTGCAGGGCCACTGCCGCCACTGCCATTGGAGCATTATGAAGCAACTCGGTGTAGCCATAAGTTGCCAAAATCAGTCACTATCAGACGCCAAAAAGACAGCTGGCAAGTTTCCATGGTTTTTTTCTAACCACCAGCTGGGTTTGTTCCAAATTTCCAATGGTTAATCATGGTTCAACATGGTTCACCATGGTTAGTCATCATGGTCCCCAAAAAACTCAGGGCAATCCGGTTCTCCTCACCCAGTGGTCTCCCGATTGCCCATTGAAGACAGCGGAGAAGGGGAAGGCGAAAGGTCGATCGTTGTATTCCCTGGCATAGCTGGCATACCCTCTGGTAATGACTAGCATATTGAAAATGACTAAATGACCGTAGAAATCGTTGATTTACCCGTGAAACATGGTGATTTTCCATAGCTATGTAAACGTTTACCAGAGGCTAATCTGGCATAGACTGGGGAAGAAGAGCGTGAACAGCACCATGGACACGAGTTGTATTGGCCTCAAAGTTGGAATCGGCATGGTATTTATGACGCCCACGTTGACCATGTCTCTTGGTTCCTTAGCTGTGGATGAAAATTTGGATCATGTTCTGGTGAATTCAGACTTCATTTACATTCAATTACTCATATGTTACTGATACTACACTCATAGAATATTCCAGTCAATATATTCAATCACATGTGCAATCATCATTGAACATCATGATGTGAAATACTGTCAGCTATAGCAGCTATGATATCAAGGTCCTTCAATGTCCAGTTCCAATCTTCGGAAGTTCTGTGGCAACGTGTGCAGCTAGGCATCAAAGCGAACCTGGCGATCCACGAAAAATATCTGGGATCTGGGGAGTTCCATCAATGGTAGCCCTAAATGTATGCTAAATATTGCTAAATCATCCATTTATAGCTGGGATTTCCCTTATATATAAACCATCCAGCGATCAAGATGATAAAGGGGTACCCCCATAAACTGAAAACCACCATCTCTAAACATCTACACTTTCGTCAACGCGAGTAGAGCTTTCAGATCTCAGCAACCCCTGCCTTGCCATACTTGTCTTGGGTTGTGCTGTAAACAGACTGGACCCTGAGTTGCACGTGCTTCACATGGTTCACGTGGATAACTGCGAAAAAAACTTGAAATCTTGTGGTGGAAAAAAAACTCTGAAAACGCTTGGAAAATGCCAAGCCCGTGCAAACAAGCGACTGAACTGTCATTGAACCATCGGCGCTTTGAAGCTTACGCACGGGAGCTGATGTCGTTTTCATGTCGATGATCTCTTCCAATCCTGGGAAATCGGAACACAGTTGATCTAATAACTTCTGAATTTCGTACATTTCGTACATTTCGTACAGGTCACACATTGCCCATGTCACGTCGGCACCTATTTGACCTTGACATCAGCAAAGGCTCTGCGACGATCGGCCTCACAGCCGACCCCGGAGCCCATGGGACAAACGGTACTGGAACCCCCCCCATCGCATCCCATCGCGATCCCGGAACTGCCGGGACCCCCTGCCTGAGGGGCAGCAGTAGTAGAAGGCTCCGGTTTTCTCGGGTTTTCACACATTCCTCCAGCCATAGCTGAGGTATTCACAGTAGAGATGCTGGGGAAAGTCACCTCAGTGAGACATAGATGTGATGCCACAGCTTTCCTTCAAAGATCAGCATTTTTGCCCCTTTAAATGCTGCCCAAGCTGCACAAGAAGTCGCTGACTTCAACTGAATTTCTGCAAAGAAAATGTCTCCAGAATTTATTGTCACAGGATAGCCATCCAAATAAAAATGCCTCTGTTGCGCCAAGCTGTAGAACTCCTCGTGACGTCGTGTTGGGCACATCTTGTCAGGCAGCAACAGTTGAAATGCTGAAAGCTTTCCACTTTACCACAAGCATGTGCGCTTGTCCTTCGAAAATCTCTATGACGACATCAGTTGAAATCTCTATGTTCGACAGCCAAGCCACGGCATATGGAGACTGCACCACATGACACACCTCCGGCGTCATGATTTCATGAGATCAGCTAACCTATGGTGACATATGGTATAACCTATGATAACATGGTACCCTCTGGTTATGTCAAAATAGCTATTGAAGCCATGGCCCAGTCGAAATAGTTGATTTTCCCCTTAAAAATGCTGGATCTTTCTGGATCTTTCCATCGTTTTTTGGGACTCTTTACCAGAGGGTGTCTCATGGTATCTCTGTTGAGATCTGCGATGCCTCCGGCTGGATGCCTCCCACGATCCTTCCAGTGAGCCATGGGCTGGGAACAGATTTTGCCTGGCAACGGCTAGACCACAGGATGACAGGATGTTTCGGTGATGTGCCATGAATTCGGCCAAGCAACGCCATCCAAAAGGAAACGAACCTGGAAACCTCAGTGGCTCCAGAAACTCATGAACTATCATTAACATGTCATGAACATGTCATGAACATGTCATGAACATTTCATTAACATTTCATTAACTCTACAGTACTCCACAGTACTCTACGGTACTCTACAGTACTCCCAAGCATGCCACCAGCCACCAGTCGAGAGACTGAAACTTCCAGTGAACTCCAATTCCGGAGCAGCAGTGATGATCTGAAATGCAACCACTGCCTTGGGACATCGATATCTCAGCCGGTGCAAACATGTTCAAAACAACAACAAGATATCATGACTGAGCAATTTTGAGCATGTGAAATCACATGAGAAATCACGGCTCATTTCGCACTGTACTCACTTTTGCTGTCGCATCATTTCGCACCATTATTAACCATTATTAATCAACCATTATTAACCACTACTAACCATGATTAATCATTATGTTGCATCTTGCAAATTCGAGTTGCAAAGCCCAGGTCATTGGTTTGTTCCACGGATCCTTCCCGCAGCTCTAGCTGGACATTGCCCAGCGGATACTCGGTGTTCTGGAAGAATTCCACATCAACGGTCTTTCCGGGAATGCCATTCCTGCAAAAAATCCGCTTCGCACAGCAATCATCGCAGTTCAGCACTGTTTTGGAAGGTCCAAATCTTGGTTTTAGATTTAAAGATTCCAAATGCATGTTCTGATTGTCCTGAATCATGATATGATGAAGGTGAAAGGCTCTTCTGACACAAGGGTCACTCCAATTGGGCCCTGCCAAACGAATGACATAACTTTGACATAACACCTATCGGACCTATCGTAGAACGAGTTTGAACATACAGATCCAAAAAAATGATGGCCCTTACCATCCCGGATCTGTCCCCATCCCCAATTTTTCCAAGCAACCCTTGCGCATCTACGACACGAACCACCGCCAGAAAGACATCTGACCCATCTGATTTGCCCACTCCCAAATATCCTGGGGTGGGTCCAAAGCTGAAAGCGAGCATCTTCAATGGTGAATTTCTGAATGGTGAAACGAATGTTGAAACATGTTGAAACATGTTGCAGTTGATAACAGTTGGATAACAGTTGTGAATGAAATCCCAAAGTGTTGTCCAAATCCCAAGGCTCTGGAGACTTCAGCAGCTTTGCGGATGAAACGCTTAATCCTTGGGCATCAAAAAGCGGCGCTTGATCATTCGCCCTGTCCGGTGAATCGTGGTGAATCCAGTGAATCCATGGCATTCCATGGCCCAAATCCGTCCTGATCTCTGCAACAATGGGTTCCACCTCAATGGCTGATGTGACAGTCATTGGATTGGTTTAAGATGTTTAAGTTAAGGGAAAATCTTAACCGGAAACCATGGTTTTTACCATTAAATCTGGGGGTAAAATCTGTAATTTTTCCCAACAAAACCAATCCAATGAGACAGGAATTCGACTCAGATTTGCAGCGAAGGCTAAGGCCCCGAGGCCCCAGCCTGCTGAATATAAGTGGGTGATGTGGGATCCCACGGATGTCTGTCCTGCAGAATCTGCAGTTTGTATCATCGTAAAAGATATGAATTTACATCATTCTCAGGACGACTTCATTGATCATCATTGATCTACAATATATGTATATTCTAAATATATATATATATATTAATATATGTAACATATATATAATATACATAATATATGTATGTATATAATTATATATATATATTTATTTATTCCCCACCTGCCAGGTGAGGGTTGTTAGATTTTATGTCAGTTGCCTCCTCCTGCCTCCTGCCTCGTCCTCCTCCTCCTCCCCCTCCTCTCCTCCTCTCCTCCTCGTCCTCCTCGTCCTCCTTGTCATCCTTGTCGTCCTTGTCGTCCTCGTCGTCCTCGTCGTCCTCGTCGTCCTCGTCCAACTGCGACCCGCGATCCACAGTGTTCTCTGCCGGACCTCAACCACGACCATCCACGCCCAGTGTTCCCTGCCGGACCTCAACCACGACCATCCACGCCCAAGTGTTCCCTGCCGGACCTCAACCACGACCATCCACGCCCAGTGTTCCCTGCCGGACCTCAACCACGACAATCCACGCCCAGTGTTCCCTGCCGGACCTCAACCACGACCATCCACGCCCAGTGTTCCCTGCCGGACCTCAACCACGACCATCCACGCCCAGTGTTCCCTGCCGGACCTCAACCGCGAGTATCCACGCCCAGCGTTCCCTGCCGGACCTCAACCACGACCATCCACGCCCAGTGTTCCCTGCCGGACCTCAACCACGAGTATCCACGCCCAGTGTTCCCTGCCGGACCTCAACCGCGAGTATCCGGGCCCAGTGTTCCCTGCCGGACCTCATGTAGGAAGATATGGGACAAAGAATGTGCAGAAGAAAGTTAGAAAGAATGTCAGAAAGAATGTCAGAAGATATGCCAGAAGATATGCCAGATAGAATGCCAAATAGAATGCCAGATAGAATGCCAGATAGAATGCCAGAAGATAGGTCAGAATATATGCCACAAGATATGCCAGGAGATATGCCAGATAGATATGCCAGAAGATATGTCAGAATATATGCCAGAAGATATGTCAGATAGAATGCCAGAAGATATGTCAGAAGATACGCCAGAAGATATGCCAGATAGAATGCCAGATTGAATGCCAAAAGATATGTCAGATAGAATGCCAGAAGATATGCCAGATAGAATGCCAGAAGATTTGCCAGATAGAATGCCAGAAGATATGCCAGAAGATATGCCAGATCATATGCCAGAAGATATGCCAGATAGAATGCCAAATAGAATGTCAGAAGATATGTCAGATAGAATGCCAGAAGATTTGCCAGTAAGAAAATGTATAAATGTCATGGTGGGGATCACACGAAGTAAAGTAATTTATTTATTTACTATATTTATTTACTATATTTATGTACCATATTTATTTACTATATTTACTTATTTATATGTATATTAGAGACAGGAAAGGACTGCTTCACAGGCCACCAGTCAACTCGACCAGGCAAAGTTTCGGTTGGCCCCGTGACCGCGGATCATCAGCGGATTCGTCCTGCTCGACGCCATCACAGACGAAGCCAACTGAGAAGACAGAGGTCTGAGTATCCTCACAGCGCCACAACTTTCCACCAGCTATGTGCCATGTCGTGCCATGTCGTGCCATGTCGTGCCATGTCGTGCCATGTGGTGCGCTTAGCCAGGCCACCCAGTACTTCAGCAAAACGAGGTCCATGGTGTTGCCTTCCACTGACCTTGGCACGTTGGCACAGCGCACAGCATCCGTTGGGCATCCGTTGCGCTGACGAATATCATGAATCCATGGTCCCTTCCTGCGCATTGCCGAGCTGCCATCTCAGTCCCGAAAACCTGAGACAGCAGAAAAAAATCAATGGGTGTCCCTGCTGAAGGATTTTCACATGGGACATCATGGGACATCATGGGACATCATGGGACCCTATGCTTCTCTTCTATTCCAGCTTTTCACCTCCTCCAGTCAGCATTTCCGGCTCCATTTCCGGCTTGCTGAGTTTGAAAATGCGGCAATATCATGCAATATCAATACCCAGCAATAAAGCCCCATGGCAAGGATGGTTTCTACCACCGCTTTGTTGAAAGTCTGGATCCGCTCACTCTCCAAGGTACTGCGCTACTCCATTGGAATCGGTCACCGCCACTGCATCAAGCAGCTCCTAGCCGTGCCACTTTGGAACCCAACATTGTCATAGGCCATTGACGATAACTCCAAATCTGATCTGAAGCTGGTTGCGAAACATTCCTGTGAACCCCGAATTTTCTCAAGCCCGTTTCATGCAGCTAATTGCAGCTAATACAAAAATCATGAAAGTCCCCAAAAGCTGTTTCTTTCCATCATCTGACAAGTGTGGTGTTCTGCAAAAAAACTGGCATTTGCCTCTATCATAGACCTATCAGTTGTGTGGCTTTCTGAGTGCTCCTTGTTTCTGACACCTTCCTGTTGTCTGCGGTACCAGTTGGGATTGCGGCCGCCCATCTCAATCGACACCAAAGCCTTGGCAGCTCGGAGGATGAGTCCCGATCCCTGCGGTAAAATCTGAATGCTTCGAAATGTTTCACATGCAATATGATGCAATATGTATAGACTATTAGATATGACATGTATAGTATGTTGAGACATTTGCATATAGACATATGTAGATATACGTAGATACACGTACATCACATCCGTCATCCGTAGTCGTGTTTTTGCATTAAGGTCTCAAGTTGAGCAAATGTACACATACGGTTTTTTCGGCCCTCTCAAGCCATTGGTATCCCAAAAAAACATCCGAACTGCAGCTGTGCAGCATAGCAAGTCACCTTGGACAGAACATGGATGGCGAATGGCAATAGCAGCTATCAGCTGCTCAAAAAAATGATGAAACATGTTTGAAAACATGTTTGTTCAATATGGATCAGATATGGATCAGATGCCCCTTGTTTTGCATATTTTTGCATTCATGGGACGGATTCATAGTCTGATAATTAGAATTCCCTTCTCAACCAAAAGCAAATCCTTTTACTTATGTGACTTATGTGTGTTTAGTGCACATAATGTCATCAAAATGGTTGCTACTTATCATGAGAACATCCAACCCTCGCCAAGTTGCACCAGCCACAGGAGCACCGTTTTCTCCAGTCACCGTGACAGCAGGTTGGGGATCAAACCTCAAATCCACTTATCATTGTTCCACTCAAATTCCTGGGGATTTTTTGGGAAATACCACATGTTCCACATCCATATGGTGATTTAAACACTTTGGTCTACATCTGGGACGAGCAGCGGAACGCCTTCTGTGGCAAATGCTGGCACCCTTGGATTCAGTGAAGCTGGAAACTCAAGACGTAAAACATGTAAAACATTGCCACCTTCATTTCACCTTCATTTCCAACTTCCCAGGATGTCCAAAAGATGTTCAACCATGTTCAACCTATGAAGCATCAAGTGTGTCGAAAAAGCCAAGAGTCGCAGTTGTAACCTGCACGAACTAGACACAACAAAGCCACTGGCAAGAAGCATCTAACATCTGCACAAAAAACAAACGGTGAGTCAAAAGCTTCGTGAAACTTGCGAATTTTCGAGCCTGAACTCTTGCTACTCTCGGAAGGAGGTAGGTGGAGAAGCGGTAGAACTGGACGGTCAAGGGATAGTTGCTCCTGGCATAACATCCATCAAAGTCCCATCAAAGTACCGAAAAACGCCCTTTGAAAAGCGCCGTGCAAATCAATGGGATAGTCACCGGAACGTCATGGATAGTCCTTGGAGAATAGACTTCATCATTCCAAGGAGCGAAGACCAGTGCACTGTCGGAGAACACGATGTTGACGTGGTCAACCTTAGTCAACCAGGGTCAACCGGAAACTGAATCAGCAGAACTAGTAACATCTAGTAACTAGCAGACTTGAGAAAATGAGGACTTGGGGGACTCTCATGATGCAATCTGCAAGCCATCCCTGGGATTCGAAGTTCTATGATGTTCTATGGTTTAGCAAGCTATCAGCTACGACGAGATCAACATCTCAGCCACAGTCACATTGCTGCTCTTGACGCCCAAGCAAGTGAATCTGGCCTTGATCCGGCGGAATGCATCCAGCAGAGTGGTGCCAAAATCTTTTAAGCTTGCGGATGCTTGCGGTCCCCAGACTTGGTAACTAAATGATCTAATAGATCTGACAGATCTGATGGATCCATATAGATCCATATAGATCCAAATCATCCAAATCATCCAATGACTCCGGCACAAGCTGCCGCAAGAAGCGCAAGTCCTTCAGCCCAGTGGCTATGCCACCGTCATCCGAGAGCTCCGATTCTGGACAATTCCTTAGAGCGATTTCGACAAACACTTCGCAGTTGCCCAAGGCTTTCCCATGTGCAGCTGAGAGTCAGTTCTACCACCTGGACAAATGGATCTTCAATGATCTTCAATGATCTTCAATGATCTTCAATGATCTTCAACTGGTTGGTACAATAAATCTGAAGTGTCTCCCTAAATCTGGTGGGCATCATCCCCAATGATATCCCCAAATATCGGGGATGCCTGGCCTTCTGCCCCCTCCGATCATAGTTGGGCGTTGTGGCACTGGGTCCCATGATGGGCCAAGCAGAATCCGGGTTCGCGAAGGCCATGATCTGACGCGAAGCTTGGGGATGATGGTGTGATTTTTTTCCTAATTTCATCCGATCCCCCTGTGATATCCCGATATGACATTCCCACATATAAAGCACCAAAAATTATATAAAGCTCCAAAATGAAGACATCCAATCCTCAACCAAGTTGTTTTTGGTGCTTAATGGTTAGGGAATTGGATCGGTACTTGATTTTAACTGTTCAGGGAATGGATTTTTTTTCTATGTCCAAATTCCGAACCCATTGGCTGACAAAAATCAAAACATCTCCACCATTCCCACCACCAATCCCCCATTGTTCAACATGTACCCCATGAAAAAGTGCATGTTTTGTGCATTTCTCCCATCAAAAATCCTCAAAGTTTGACATCTCTTCACCATGTTCCGTTCAAATCTACCATCATTTTCCATCATTTTCCCACATCTTCCGACTGAGTTTCCGACCTTTCGCCCCGGCACTGGCAGACCTCGCATGTCCCGCACCAAGATCCGTGGTTGCCAGGCGAAAGCTTCTCCAATCTGGCTGCCGAGAGAGATATGGCGACTCCCATGGCGACTCCCAAATGGGGATACCTAATGGACAAACCATGACAGACCTATATGTCTATGGAATTATTGGTCAAACCCAATGGACCTCTCCAATAAATGTGTTTAAAAAATGTGTTTTTTGACATCAACACCATCTCGAAACAAATGGGTTGCGCATTACAAATAGGATCCTCTCACAGGATCACATCATTGGTCAAAATTCAGCGCCTTGACAATGCGTGGTGGTGCCACTTCTGGCAGCTCGGGCCTTGGTTGCTGTCATGTCTACCACATTCTCTATTAGATATATCATGATATATCTTTTGTTCGATGCAAGAAGTGTAAGATGAACTATTACCATCTATTACCATTATTCCCAAAAAACAAAATCATGTTCCAAATGGAGGTTTCATTCATTTGCCAGCCTTTTTTTAACTGTTTCCAAGGTGCAACGTATCATCCACAACTTCCAACGAGGCAACGGGTGTGGACACCAACATCACCGCTTCCTCGGGGGCATCGACGCCAGCCGCGGAGGGCAACAGGGTGTAGAGACCTCCGGGGCCATCGATGGTGAAGTTCCGCAGGCTGATCAAACCCGAGTCGTCCGTCAAACCTCACCAAAATGTGTCAAAATGTGTCAAAATGTGTCAAAATGTGTCTGCTGAAACTCTTCAACCTATTCAGCAATGCAGCTCATGCTGTGAATTGCAGAAGTGGATGAGGCCTCTATTTGTGAAAGTCTTGGTTACCACATCCTTCACGAAATAATGTAATGTCTTGAAGGCAACACAGATTTCGAGCTACCTTTGTTGTACTGGACACGGTCGTAGCCACAAACCTTGGACACAGAAGTGAGGCAGTAGACACATTTTAGGCATCGGCCGATTTTGGAGATCAACAAACTTGGGCTCAAAAATGCTCAAAAATGCGTGAAGGATGGGGTACACTGGGTACACTGTGGCACCTACCAACTACCAACTTGCTCCCAACTCGCCGAGTCACATGTTGAAGCCTTCGCGCTTCCACGGTGCCCTTCATGGCATCCATCTGCGCCTCAAGGTTCGACTGACGGCACTGCTGAAGCGGAGAACCCGTATTTTCTGCTTAGTTCAAATTGGATCCACACCCCACAAGCTACAACTCGCTTTGAGTAAATTAAAATAAGTTAAATCTAGTGGCATCTAGTGGCATCATCTTGCGTCCGCTTTTCGCACAATCGTTTCATCTGTGGATCTATACTGGGCCTTGATCGGCGTTTCCCATGCCAAGAGGACCAAAATCCCGGCAGCGTGAAGGAAATGCGATGAAATCGAACCTTCCAAGTCCCTTCGAAATGGCTAATGACCATTAATTACCACCATTAGTTACCACCATGAATTAATTACCAGCATTAATTACCGACCAAAAAAATCCACCTGTTCCACCAAAATCCACCCTGGCGGCCTTTGAACATCGCAAGGGCCCATCTGCCACAAAGTTCCTAACCTTGACCTGGCGACATGGCGGACATCTAGGGAGAATGATGATCAACCGTTGGTTCCCCTGATCTTTTGCAGGCTGATGGTTTGAACATGACATGATCAACATGATCGACATGATCAACATGATCAATCGTTGGGGTTTAGGATGGTTTAGGGGTACCCGAGATGTCTTTAAAAAGGTGCACAGTTTCGGTATGTTTCGGTATGTTTCGGTGCATGGTTCCGAGCAGAGACTTCTGCAGTCTCTGGAAAGATCTGGAAAGGAAAGGATGGTTTAGGGGTACCACATGGCACCACCCTTCGGCCAAAACCATTTCATGATGACATCATGACCATTCATGACCAGTCATGACCCGCTTGACGTCCTGAAGCCGGCCTCAACCTCCACATTGGGCATGGGACCTCCAGTGCTTTCCGAAATTCGTCACACTGAGGCATCTGAAGAAAAAAATGCTCACCTCGTCCATCGTTGACCACGAAGATCTTCTGCGAGCGGTTTGGGATGGTTCCAAGGCCTGACAGAAACAGTAATGGCATCAATCCTGGCATCAATTGCATCCTTTCTCTTCACATCTGCCAGCTGATTTCATGACATCTCTTCATTTTGAACTTCGACAACTTTAAGAATTTCTAGAAATCGACAAAAAAGTGTCGTATTTTGGGCCATGGTGGTATTTCTCCCCATTTTTTCCCCAAAAAAGTGGTACCCGCAGCACCTGTATACAAACCTTTGAGGTCATCTCCCAGTTCACCGGACAACCACGAGGCCGGTGGAGGACTCGCAAAGCGAACCTCAGAATGGGCAGATCATGAATAGCTTTCCATAGCGACTGGAATGATGGGCAGATTGCCACGATAGGAAACTGGTTCCCACGGAAGCTCACCAGGAAACCGCTTTCACTTGCGGCGCAGGTTTTGGAACTGTCTGAAGCAGCACAAGCCTCGATTCGCTGCAAGATGTCGAAAATGTCACAGTGCCAAGAGATGTCTCCAGTTTATAAAAGCCATAAGCTGTACATGGCTGCATCACATTCATATTCAAACTATTGGAGTCAAGGTGCACAAAGTAGATGTAAACTAAAGAGAAGGCGACAATGTTGAGGCAGCGCACCTTGGTTTTGCGGATTAACCATTGACTCTCTGACTCTGGATGATTTCACAACTTCCTATGGAGTCCTATGGGGTTCCCCTCCCATACACGCCATGGAACTCGAACGCGATCTTCCACAAGGTCGCTGATTTGGAAGAAGCAAACCTGCGGCTGTCTGTTAAAAGTGCTGTTGAAAGTGCCCCCAACGTGACCAAAATTCAAGGCGTGTCTTCAAATGGATGATGGATGTGTCTTCAATCTGTGACTTCTTTGCACCAAATGACACTGCAAGCGAAATAATACATGGAAAATACCATAAAAATATACCATAAAGTATGGAAATGAGATGCCATGAGTTGTGCCCTGGGCCTTGTTCTTCCAAGTCGATGTCTCCGGTATCAGCTTGGTTGGCATTCCCTGCAATGGGTTTGTATGTTGGGCCCCAGCATTTGGAATGGGCCTTCTGCTACTGGATCAAACTGATTTAACCAATGGTGTTCGCTAAGTCTTCTTGCTCTGTTAAGCCATGGAAACGGAACTTCGGAACTCAAAAGAATAAAGTGACATCTGCAACATAATGGCATATAATGGCTTTGAGAATGAAGAAATACAAAACACACCCACCAACTGTGGCCACTGTGGCCACTGTGGCCCCCGGCCTCATCTGCATCGGAATCATCTGGCGCAGACTCCTTGGGAGTATCTGCGACTTTCGCCTCTTTTGGGCTAACCACCGGCATCGTGTCCCGGTGCCAGTTCGGCTGTGAGCCAAAGCTCGAATCGCAGAGTCATGATATCAAATCGTCAAATCGCCCCTGTGTTTCTGACATCTGATGTTCAGTGGTGATTTGAAAAATTTGAAAATCCATAAAATCACCATAAAACACCATAAAACATAAAACAGTTTTATGGTGTGTTGAAGGGTTTCTCCACCTGTTTCCTCCGCGGGCGTCCCCTTTGAGGCGCGGAGTCATCTGTGAAACGACGCAATCCAAGCAGCAGTCTGAAATCGGAAACTCAAAAGAGTCATTTGGAGAGTTTGGAAAATTTCTTGGGGCAAGTCTCGGATTTTCTTGGCGAATTGCTTTGAACATACTCTTTACTGCGTTACTTCACTCTTTGGTCAGGCGAACTTCAGGTATGTGAGGACCGTGTCGACCTCGGTGGAATGCAGTGCTTTGGTTGATAATGCTACCAATGATCGGCACAATCTATGAAGCATCCGCTGCAACATAGTCCATCTCATCTTTTTTCCAAATTCAAGCCGGTTTCCGGTTAAACGGCCCCGGCTTCGCCAGTTTTGGCCACCTTGACATTCTCTTGTGCCTTGTCTATCGCATCACAAATTATATCCAGTAAGGTCAGCCCAAAAAAAAAACGAAATGACATGTACTAAAAGTATCTAAAAGTGATCAATTACTTATTGTCATTATTGTCATTATTCTCTATCTGTTCAATTCTTTTCAGCTTTTTGGGGGTTGCTATACTTGAAGTGTGACCGTGTGATGCGGCGAGCGACACAGTGCTTTTTGGAAATCCCCATCAAAGAGGTGGCATTGGAGGCTGTAACTCGACTGGAAAGAGGGCAGACTCCACAAACTATCATACAAACATAGACAAACTATCATAGTTGCATCATAGTTGTATCATATAGTTGTGTAATTGGCAGTATTTGTATCGCTGCGGTATAGACAGTATATTAATATGCTGTTTCATCTTCAATATCTTCATATCTTGATATGTAGGGTATGTCTCCAGGACATCCAAAAAAAAGTGTCGTGACCGACACTTGAGGAACACACCCATGGCCACTCTCGGGGCCCTGGGAGATGCGAATCAAAGAGGTTATTGTGATGTCATTATGATAATATAATGATTATGATTATGATATATTCTTGTGATTATGATCATGATAATGATAATAATGACATTATCAAAGAGGCTATTATGATAATTATTCGAAATGATTATGATATATTATGATAATGATTGGAATCATAATGATCATGATCATAGGATCGCAGCTTTCACATGCTCAAGCAATCTTATTGTCAGGTGCACAAGCGAATCAGAACTCCAACGAAACAGTTCCCACTTACTGCCTTCGATGATCTCGGCTGTAGAGCAGGAGCCGAAGCAGAGATGGCCTCATTTGATCATATTTGATACATTATTTGATTCATTATTTGATCATATTTGATCTATAGATTATCAGAATTTATCAGATCTCGCTGATATCCCGAGCACAGGTCACACCATGACAGGACCACTTGAGAACAGGCTGAGGTCCAGGCCGCCACGGCCGCTCTCTCTAAACGACTTTCGGAATTCCCGGAATTCCCAGTCCTCGCAGGCGCAGAACGGAGCCAGTTTACCAAGCCACTTAGAGGATCAATTAAATATCAATTATGGATGAAAATCGCAAAACAGAGACATTCTTCCACGTCTTCACCTTGGTCTCTGATTTTGTTTGTACGGGATGTCTCACATCAATGATGCACATCCACTATATCATCTATATCCGCTATGCACATCACAGATACTCAGTCGAAAAGGCTCACAAAGGGCAATCACCAATGCTAAATAATGCTTAACAGATTGCTTAACAGATTGCTTAACAGATTGCTGAATAGCTAAATAGTATTTAATAGTGCTAAATGGCATGGCTAAATGGCTAAATTGAGTAAAAAATGAATGAACTGAGTCGCAAATGAAACAGTGGAGTCCGGGCCTGGTTGCCAGCTTGGCCAGCTTGGCCTGGCGAATGCAAGAGCCGAAAGCTTCACAAACGTGGCCGAAACGTGGCAATGTTGCCGAAAAGTCCTGATTTTCATTGATTTTGTACCAGATGTGAAACTCAAAGTTGTTGTTTTTTGCCAGAAGAGTCGTTGTTTTTTGGACCAAAATCGTCATCGTCTCAATTCTCGACCTCAGTTGCCGAAGTCATCTTTCGTTCCCTAGCCAGGCGGTCCTGGCAGCGGAAAAGCGTCTGGAAAACCCATGGAAAACCCATGGTTTGGTTTTCAGCCTTTGGTCGACACGCAGAGTAACTTCAGGTCCTTCAGGTCACCCAAGAGTCTCGCCAGGGTCCTTCTGTCGAGTGTGGATGCCTGAGAGATCCCAACAATCCATTCAGAATCGTACGATGACATCAATCATTCTGGATCTGCGAGTCTTCTTGACTACCTTTGACCATAATTTTGATATAAGTGATCTATTAGTTATCTATAAATGATATAAGTGATATATATATATGATAAAATATAAGTGATATGACATAATGACACATAATGACATGTTCACCGACATGTTCCCACATCAAACGGCCTCACGGCTCCAATCTTCCGAGTCCTCCTTGGGCCTCCGGAAATCAACCAAGGTATTCAGCTTCACACCGGAGATATGTCAGATATGTTGATATTGATGTGGTTATCATTCTTTGCTGATGTTGACATCATTGGCATCCCTCAATTTCTCTTTGCTCACAGCATGTCATTGTATTGCTATTGGTTGTCTTCTCTTTCTGACGATGTACGGAGGATAGAAACAGACTTCCCAATGTTGACCACACTGGTGCCCCATTTTCACACTTTATTCGTACTTTGTTTGGCAAGATCATTTCATGATGATTTCATGATATACATATATACATATAATATATATATATGTATAGATAGAATATATTTCATGTGCATATATATATATATACATATACATTTAGAAGTCCTTATGATGTCAACCTGAGGTCGCCACACTCTCGGGGAACGGCCACGGAGTTTGGTGCGTGGCTTTGGGTAATCTGCCTGAAGCTCGCGGCAAGCCGCCAATGAGGAACTTAGAAACAGTAGCTGCTAGTTGCTGGTACAAAACCATGGAAAACATGAGAATAGTATCCATCTAAACCGCGAGATATGCCATGTTCAAACCATCTCAAACAATCTCAATCTTTGTTCTCGAGTTCTGAATCTTCGTTTTGAGGTGCAGACCTTTGGTCCAAGCCGCTCTTCAGTCGCGCGGCGTCGCTCTTCCAGGATCAGCATCTGACGTGACGATCATCATTTGGAGCCAGGATCATCATTTTCTGAATCCAAATTCTCTGCACATTTGAATAAACTGAGGTGTGTGCCCAGGATGTATTCGGCAGGGCCGGGGGTTGGGGTATCCTTGGCAACTTCATGGGTGTTCGTACCTCAGTCAATTTCCATCAAGCTGAAGAGTCTCATTCTGTCAACTGCGCGCCTGCAAGTCGTCGCTTTTCAGCCATGGCGGTAGAAGTTCCTTCGACTTCAAACCACAGGATTTCAACATATTCAGCTGGACTTCCTCGAAATTTCAACCAGTTTGGCGCCCAAACACATAACCATCTATAGTCTATAGATGTCTGTAGTCCACTTGGTAAATGAGACCATTTGATTTGTTTGTCTCATTGGATGCGCTTGGGTGAACCCCTCCTCACACTCTGCAGTCATGGCTGCAAGGCGTTTGCAATGGCTGGAAACCGTCCGTGCAAGGCGGGTTTGCTCGGGGAGTCGATGCTGTGATGGATGTACGCCAATTTTTATGACTGAAAAAAGAAGGGGACCAAAGTCATGGATGATGCTTGGTTGGTTTTACAAGTTGCGCCAAGTGGCTCTGATAAAAAAGGACCCTTGGGCCCTTGGGCCAAAAGTTCCTGCTGCCCCGGACACGTTTGATTTTTGCTTCACGTTCTTGAAACTGCAATGCTGAAATGCCAGGATTCTGGGACAGACTTATTCCACAAAAAAACAACCAGAAAGTGCCAATAGCACGTTTTCCCTCTTTCATGTCGGTGTCCCTACGAAGCCGTTCATTCATGGCTTGTTTTCATAGCAAAGCACGGAGTGAAGCGGAGGGATTGGCACACAGGAACTTCCAAATACAAGGCCAATTCTACTTGCCCCATCCAACAGCAGAACCTGCTGAGATCCTGATCACAAGGCCTCCCCAGAAAATAAAAAATGTGGACTCCAACCCACCACAAAACCCCTCTCACACAAAATATGTTTGAAAAAATCTAGGGGCTCAAGACCCCTGATTTTATTTTGGAGCACCCTACAGGGGTATTAAATCTTGCAGCCCAAACTGCCCAAGGTGGATGTCTTTTTTGATGCTTTAGGCTTTCACTGCCTAAGGCTCGGCTGAAACGTCCAACTCCGCAGCGCAGAGTCAGGACACATTTACGTGAGAGCGAAGACTGTGCATGAGCGCCACCACTTCATTTTGTTCAAAGAAGAACAAACCTAAACAAGAACCACATGATGACAAGACCAGTGAAGAATCTGAAAAACAACAGCTCCTCGAGTCGATTTCATACACGGCTGCTCATGTGCTCTGAGTGTGTGGTGAAGCGTATTTCACTTCACGTTGGCAAAGAATGGCAAAGAAGAAAGATCTGTTTCAGATCTGAAAAACAACTAGGATTTACCGTAGAGGTATGTTGTGTGGTGCCCTTTGGAGCACCACGCAGAAAAGGCTGAGAATCACAAACAAGGGCGCGGAAGCATTTCCTTTCGCAGCAGTCCATCCTGAACGAGTCTGAACGGCACATGAAAGTCTCTCAAATTTCTGCATTTTCTGTGGACCAGCTGGCTTTTCACCACAAATCTACATTCCATTACGCTCCCACGCCTTCATGAGCTGGTTCACCTAACAGAAGTGAAGATCAGGATGGGCACGGTGTAAAAAGAGATAAATGGAAAATTGCTGGGTTGATTTGCAGTTCAGAAATGTAACGACCAAGAATCTACAGCCCCAGACGGACAGAGTGGCACAGAGAGCTGGAGTGAGAATCAGAGAGCAAGTGAAGAAGTATGCAAACAGCAGGAAAGAAGCAGACAAAAAATAATACATATTACATCATATTACATATATTTACATACAGTGTCATAATCATATCATAATAGTACCAAACTTCATGAAGCTTCCCAAAATTCCCTGGCGCCTTCCCTTTTTGCGTCTGCTTTTCTTCTCTTCTCTGCGAGAATCTTGCATCTCAGTGGAGCCCCAGCCTGAAGCTTTCGCATCACATCGTTCAGGAAATAACGCCGGAGAAACAACACGGATCACCACGGACACTGCAAATCATAACGGACTATCATTAGATAAATATGTATATCTATTCATACATTTATATATATACATATATATATACATATATATATATATATATTCGTAATCACAACAAACAACGGCCTGAATTCATGGAACGCTTCGACGCGTCCAGGGAAGGTGATCGCTCTGGATCCTGGGCCCGGAATCAAAATCGTAGCCTAAAAGCAGCAACCGAAACGACGAAGCCGACGCCCGTGACGCCCGAAGCCGCAGTCCTGGCCGTTGCATGCAGCGAGCCACCTTAGATGCGGCTTGGAACTTTGGAAATGCTCAGCTTTGGAACCTCCATGTCCGTGGTCCCAATCAGAATTTCCGAGGCCGCAGCTCTTGGTTGTGCAACTTGAATTTGCACTCCTGTCATGATTCTGGTGGCTACCAGGCTACCAGTCTATCAAACTTTGGGGAAAACTGGTTTTCACATCCAAATTACATCTTAAATTACTGCTAGTTATGAATAGTCTGAATAGTCATGGACATTCATCCCCCATTTTGGTAGGTAATCCATTTGGTAATCCATTTGGTAATCCATTTGGTAATCCTGTTAATCCAATGACTGGATCATGTTATTCATCCACGCCTGGATGCGGCGGGTCCACCGGGGTTCGTGGTAGGCACGTGACTCCACCTGCCGAGTCAACGGGATTCATAACCGGATTCACGGGATCCCCCATTGGATGGTAATCATCCCCAATACAGGATAGATAATAATGGTCATGTATAGTATGATAGATCATTCTAATACAGGATAGATTCATGATAATCCCCTATTGATAGTATGATCATGAATGATCATGAATGATCATGTATATTATATATATAATCCCCTCGAATAGTCAACAGGGGTAGATCGCAGCCACTTTTCACTGCTGTGCTGAGGTCTGCACCGCTAAGATCAGGTCTAAGAGCTCAATGGCTTCTGACTGGGAAGAAGAACGCACCAAGTCCTGCAAGATCTGGTGATGGTGATGGAATGATATGGAATGATCACTGCCGGAATACTGATGGACTATGATGGGATCCACAGGAAATAGATGGAAATAGTCCACAATACTGGCTTTCAAGATCTCTGAACTCTGCCAGTGTCCATAATGTGAAGAGGAACGTCAGTTTCTTGCAAGAGAACCTGAAGCCACTGGCAACGCTTGGGACTGGTCCAATTGGGCTCACGTGGATTCGTGTCAATCATGCGTTTGAGTCGAAGGACCTTCAAAACGAGACATTCTGAACCTCTTCACCTAGCTGAGTAAAGAGCATCCCGCGTCTCTTCCAGCATTAGAAGGCATTGAACCAGGAAAAGCAGTTGGACCTGAGGGCAAAGCCGAAATGCACGAGCTTCGAAAGAGAACAATGATCAAATTTCGGGAAAGAAACAGGGACAGAAAGCCAGAAACATCTACAATCTACATTCATCTACCATATCAATCCATATCACATAGAAACAGAACCAGGAAGTGTGAAAATCCTCGGCTTCGCACCAGAAGATCAGCATCCCCAGACTTTGCAGCCAGGAGGTCCGGCAATAGACCAATCACCTGCCAGTGTGCTATGACTGCTATGAGCTCGACTCGTAGAGATTGCCAAATGCGCAGAAATGTGACCTTTGAAATTCCCAAGCATCATATGGTTTCAATGGTTTCAATGGAAAGTCTGTTTTTCCCTCGTGAAATTCCCATGTTTGATGGTCAAATCCCCATGTTTTCATGGTGTTAACCTCCATTAGATCCCCATTTTGCATGGCTTTCGCAGCAGTTCTTGGACAAGCCTTGGAGCTGGGAAGTAGAGCCGCAGCGGGCGGATCTAGAGCCAAGAGGCTCAGAAGCATCACCGCCTGCGCCATGCTGCGCCATGCGCCATGAGTGCAGCAAGGGTTTTTTTCAACGTCAGGAGGAAGACATACTCAGTGACTAAGATTGACATTTTGCACAAAGAATCAAAAGAATCGAAACCAAGCAAAAACAGAGACTGTTGTGATATAAAGAGTTGACACTTCGAGACTTAAAAACAAACCTGGACATGGGAAATGCGTGTTCGAAAAGTCAAATCCACCAGGATTTCATCGCAGAATTTACAAAGCGCCCAATCTATTCTTTGGACGTCAGGACCTGGTGAATCTCCTGGTGATGAAAAAACATGGACCAGGTGGAGCCCCATGGTGCCATCACAGAAATCACCCGGGGATGGCCTCCAAAACCACATCGTCTTCTGCGAAGCCCACCATCAGCAGCCTCCAGGGATTCTGTGTGAAAATGCGTTCATTTTCCCACAGAAAAAATGGGAGTAAAATATATGGTACGGTATATATATATATGGTATATGTATATATATATATTATCTTGGTATATATGATATATCATCTTGATGATTCTTTTTTCATCCTTTTTTCAAACACGCCATGGGACCACTAGCATCAACTACCGACTGACTTTTTGATGCTTTTTGCGCACCTTGGCAGGGGCTCCAACAGTCCAGCTTCGCACAGGTCAACCCAGGGCACCTCAGGATGCAACAGAACAGGTTGATGATGATGGTGAAATTTTTGATGATTTGGTTCAAAAATTCAAAAGTCATCAATAGATGATGGGATGATGGATGATGCTCAAATGAATCAGAATGTTTAAAAAAGAAAGAAAAAAAACATGTTAGATCAATCTCAGATTTTTCAGTTAGATCTTCTCAGAGTCAACAGCCTCCAGGTGCCTCCAGGTGCCAGATATCAGGCTGAGTTCCCTTGCCTCGGGGCAGTCCAGGGCTGCTAAAATGCCCAAGACCTCCACCAGGACATCATGCCTCGCCGACGCCGCAAAAAACCAGGTGGCAGATCCCTGGGTTTTCACGGTGAAGATGTGAATTCTTGTTCCCATCCCACTTGAAATTAAGGATGTCTGTATTTAGAACAGTGATGACTCTGATTATTCTGATGATTATTATGATTATCATTGTTGTTATCATGATGATGAAGATGATGATGAAAAAGATCAAGATGAAGTAAAGAAAATAAAGGTAAAGATAAATGAAGATAATGAAGATAAAGAAGATAATGAAGAGAATGAAGATAAAGGTAAAGATAAATGAAATTCCAAAGTGAATCCAATCCCGTACTGTACCAGGCTGGAGGGGTGCTCATTACGGGAACCGATTCTGTCGTCAGCTCCGCCTGTCTGCTGCTGTTGCCTTCACCATCTGGACCAACTGCGGTGCGAGGCATTTGGAGCCATGGAATCTTTGAGATCTTTCTGACTCGGCCAAGGACTATACACATATATGTCACATATATGTCACATATATGATGAAATGAATGTGTATATTTGTGTGTGTGTGTCCTTTCTGTTCAAAACTTCTGCTGACCGGAATGTCTCCGTCTCAATCTATTGACGATCTGCAGAAAGTGTCCATCAAATCATATTGGACTCAGAACATGCCAAAGGCCTGCACAAGCCAGGCATAACCTCAAGTCGGTGCTCTGAATGGTCACAGGGGAAGCGTTTCACAGATCTGACAGCTGTCTCTGTTTGCTAACCAACACGGACCATTCTCGCGTCAAGGGAAATGCCAGACTGGAGCTCCAGGCTAGAACTGTCACCTTGCGGTAGCATCCAGATGTTCGAGAACTCATATGATTGCAGTCTTCGTGATATGCTGCATATGTTCACTTTCATTCATGTTCATTCGCTGTCATACTTTTCCAATGCAACCTGCCTCCACCCATCACATCTAGCAGGATAGATCTGCTTGCGGTGTGCGATGCAATGTGGCGAACAACCTGCCAACAACATCCAGCATCCAGTCATGCAATCATGCAATCTCCTTCAGGCTGACAGGTATTGTGTATGCCTGTGACCTTTGGCTGTCTGTGCTTTCTTTCTCAGCAAAACACTGTTCTGAAAAATATGACATCAGTTCTTTTGAAAAAGCAGAGGAGAAATTGAACATTGCATCGGAGTCGGGTTCGTTGCCTTGAGCATTCCGATGTTCTTGTGCTTGAAAGCTTTCAACGACACAGCCATGAAGCTGTCTTCCGCCAGGATCAGGCACGCTGCCGCCTGTCCACGGAACACCATCCACGGAACACCATCCACCAGGCATCCACCAGGCATCCCACGGCCGCAGCCAGGCCTCGTCAGCTGCCAAGTTCACCAGCAGAGCGACGGCTTCGGGCTCCTTTTTTGCAGGGACTCGATGGTTGAAGTCGAAATCCTAATCTGGGGAATACAAGCTATATCAGGCTATATCAGGCTATATCAGGCTATATCAGGCTATATCTATAGAACTTCTATAACATCTTTCTGAAAGAAAAAACCATCGAATACTGAACAAAGAAATGTGTTGCGCATTGCTGCGGATCGTTGCGTGGCCGTGTCCTGCTCTTTGCTTCGGGCCTCGGCCGACACTGACAGCAGCTGGCAGCAGCTGACAGCAGCTGACATCGGCAGTGTGGGCAATCGCTCTCAGGACATCACCAGCTGCAACGCCAAAGACGGAAGATGTGGCGATGTTCGAATCAAAGACGACCTCCATATCCGCACATCTTTTCCCCAAAGGGAATATCAATATCATTGAACATCATTGAATATCATGGAATATCACGAAAGTCAAACATGGAATGCTGCCTTTGACACTTGAGATCTGTGAATTCACAGGACTTTCCAACTTTCCAACCGCCTCACGGGTGGATCTAGCGTCATGTGGTACAGTAACTTCAGAGCCACCTGCCAGGCCAAAGACGAGCCACCGGACGTGCGTATTGAAACTACGAACTTACTCGATTCTTGATAGCATTGATAGCGCCTCAACCTTTGTTGTTTGCCAAATTATCGATAATCCATGATAATCCATGATAATCCTATGTCATGTCCATCCCTGCATTGCATTGCCCACAGTGATAACTATGGACTATACACTGCAACACTGTAGCACAATCAGGTTCTAGACCCTCTAGACGAGTCTATCCAGAAAGCACCAAAATTGTTCCAAGTCAAAAAACTATACCAAATTGTACCAATTGTAATCGCCGAATGCACTGGCCTTGTGAGTACTTTGATGCTGCACCGCATGCATCAGACGAGGCACAACAGCGCTCCTTGGATGATGCGCGACGACAAACAGAAACTTCATGGAGACGAGCACTGGGACAAGTGGGACAAGGTCTGACAAGTTATGAACACGCCACGCCGCCACACTCACTTCGGATCATTTCGTGCAATATGTAAAAGACTTGAAAAGCAAACGTCATTCCAAGCACCAGGGTGGAGGAATCCGTTGAAAGGACAATTTTACAAGTCAGAAAATCCCTGGTCCAGTCGGTCCAGTCGGTCCAGTCGGTCCAGTCGGTCCAGTCGGTCCAGTCGGTCCAGTCGGTCCAGTCGGTCCAGTCGGTCCAGTCGGTCCAGTCGGTCCAGTCCACAGTGTGATGTGTTTTTCTTCAGTCTCCGAAGGTCATCCGGTCAACCGGTCAGCCCTTTGCCTTGTGCTGGAGTCTGAAGCAATCCTACTTTCCGTTAGCCACAGACTGTTTCCTTGCCGTTCTGTGCTCCGATCTTGCTTTGTTTCACTGTTGCTTCACTTGTGGGCGTTTTCCTTTTGCAGGTGGAATATCTTGGAATATCTTGGAAAATCTGAGATCTTGGAGTGTTTTCAGCTCTGTTTTCAGCCAGCCTCAGAGTCTGAGTATAGCACTGTTCAGCAAGAGCTGCTCGCCCTCTCGCATCGAAGGAAAGATTGTAACACCTGGGTCCAAAGATCTGCGCACCAAACGCAGCAACTGTTGGCCCTTCCCGATCCATCCAATCCATCTCCATCCTTTGAAAAGTGTCTAAGAACACAAAAACCTACATGAAATTACTCAAATTCCTGACAGTTCCTGACGGTTCCTACAAGCTGGACATGTTCCTTACATGTCATTGACATCTGTTCAGCTGAGACATCTGGCAGGCGCAATGCCATGCTGAAGACCTGCAAGACAGAGACGGTACTTTAAACAAAAAAACTCTGCAAAACTGCGCGAAAGAAACATCCAAAACAATGGCCCAAAAGCTCAGTTCAATCAGTGTTAATTGTGGTAAGCGCAACAAAGTACAACAAAGTGCAACATCCTCAGAGATCCATCGATCCATCGATCCATCGAAAATCAACGAGAGCCATCGTTTTTCCACAGGCCTCATTGGCTGGATGGCCCAAAAGCTCCACAAAGCGTGGCATTTCGCCGATCAAAACATCCTGCAGGGAGAGACTTCAGGGTGCCCCTTTTTTACGCAGGACAAGTTGAAACAACCAGTGGGAAAGACATCTGTGCACACACTGTGGATGGAAGAAATTCTGCACCACCTTGGATGGTTGAAACCCTATGAATAATGGGATAAACATGGATAAACATGGATAAACCATCTATCAACTGGTGCAGGATTTCGCAACCATCCACCGTATGTCAGACAAGGAGAACAACATTCAGAAGGACACAATGTGACCTCACAGCTGTGTCTCCATCGGATAAAAAATTGCTAAATGGCACTCTTGGATGATGTAAATATTCTCAACTTTGAAACATACCCAATCTCTGTCTCAACTGAAAAACTGGAGTGAAGCAAATTCTACAAGCAGTAGAAAGCTTAGCAATAATAAAACCAATAGGACATAGAATTCAACAATATTGAAGCACTCAAAGAAAAACATGAAGAACTATCTCATTATCTGAGTTCATTGAAGTTCAGCATGAAGCATGGCAAAGCCCAGCGAAAAGCCCTCAGCTTTTGGGTCCTTGTTTTGCTCAAAAATCGTGAGCTTGTGAAGTGCGTTCAACGTGCTAAAGAGAAGGTCCTGTGGCTCAACTGTGGCTCAACGGTTTCTGGCCAGGATCTGAAGGATCCAACACACTGGTCATTTCGAAATGTGTACATCAATATGTGACACAATGGACATCAATGGAATAATGGGTATCAATGGATATCAATGATCTGAAGTGACACGAAGGTGCTAAACATGTGGCTGTGGATCCTGGATCCCCAATGATCCCAATGATCCCAATGGTCCTCGTGTTGCCTACTGAGCAAAGGAGGCAACATTTGGCAAATGTTGTGCTTCACAAACTTCAACTCCAGAGCGGTTTCCTGCAAAGTCTCAGTGAATCATAGTGAATCACTCTGAAAGCAGTTTGTTCATGTTTGTTCAACCGATTTTGGAAGTCACACTGGAGCAAAGCACTACGAACACAGAAATACTCACAGTGCTTTGCGGCTACGCTCCTCTGAAATTGCTCGGAGCACCAGAATGCAAATCTGCAGCAGGTGATCCTACGCTTCTTGCAGCGATTGCGACGATATCTTTTGGAATGAATCCTGAGGGGGAGCTATTCAAAAAAAATACTGTGACTGACGGTAACTCTGATCACTGATCTTGCGATTCAGCTTCCCTGACTGCCTCAACCTGCATCCATCTGCATCCATCTGCATCCATCTGCATCCATCTGCATCCATCTGCATCCCAAAATGGATGAAAACATTCACCTGTTGCCATCGTCTGAGTCCGGTCGAACACTGAAACTACAAGCTGAAAAGGTAGGCTGCCGGTAGGCTCCTGTCGATCCAGCAAAGCGTGACAGCCAGCGTCCTCACAATCTGCAGAATCTGCAGCACATGCCAGACACTCCAAAGCAATGACAGGAGGAACGTTACAAGGCAACTGGGAAATGATGAGAATGTCAGGGTTAGCCAGTTAGGGGATCTTGGGAAGTTCTTCGTAGGGGATATGTCTTTAAAGACACACATGACTCTCAAGCCGAAAATCACCAAATGAGTGCTCAAATGATTCAAATATCTTCAAATGCATCTCATCACAGTCCTTTTGTAAGGCGTGGCGTCTCTTGGTTTCGTACCTTGGCCCAGGACACGAAATAAAGTTGAACAACGGCCAGTTTCGAAGAGGAACTTCGTCTAAGTGGCTCCAGGATGTGCATGGTGACTTCACCACACTGATACTTCGAAAGCGCTGCGTGAAAGCCGGAGAAATTCGCGAAGATCAAGAAAATGCCTTAAAAAATTCACGAAATTCACCAAGCCGAAAATCCTCCCCAATCCCAATGATAATGATGAATGGTTTATAATGAATGATAATGAATGATGATAATGATGGTTTGCAATGCCTTGAATCAGTTGCTGATGCTTCACGGGATCACCAGGCCATAGATATGCAACGGATGCAATGGCAATGGCACCCAATTCTCCAAGGCACCTGTTATGGCAACTGCCAACTCATAGCTTCGCTTGGCGTTTTCCCGCAGCTCTCTGCTCAACACCTGCTCAGTCTATGTCATCTACGTTTCACTTGGACTTGAGTAGGATCAAACGCACAAGGTCTCAGAACTTGTTCGACTCAAGAGTGGTGTGTGGTGTGATGTAAATCTGACAGAGAACTCGGATTCTTTGGTCCTGACATGTTCTGACATGTTATGGTGATGGAAGTCGTTGCCGGGATCCCAGCTCCAAGCAGCGTAGAATGGTCTGCCAACTGCTCTAGAACAGGCACCTGGCAACGCAGCACTCGTGTCACCTCGTGTCACCTCGGCTGCCTCCGTTCCCTTCCCACGGCACTGCGCCACGCATTGCTACGCGGCAGTGCCTCTGTACAAAGGCGCAGGAGCTTTCTTGCGCCTTGGACCTTCATGTCCATATCTTCCTGCAAACGAAGGAAACATCTTCAAAATAAGATATCAAAAATATTGAATCTTCAATAATCTTCATCCTTTCTTTCATATCTTTCATTAAAACCTCATTGATCCTTGGATGTAAATTCGACACTCTATCTGTCACAAACGCATTGTCCAAGGCTCCAAGGCAAGTCAGCACCATGTCACCATGACTGAAATTGAGTGTCGCCACTGAAAGGATAAAGTTGTCACGCCCAGGGTTGGAACATTCTCCCAGTCCTCGTACAATTCCTCGATGTAGTCGTCCACGCTATGCATCTCGGAGGCTCCATCATGTACATCATGTGACAAGTGCAGCGGTCGATATGATACTGTAACCATGAGAATAAAAATAATGATAATATCAATCATCATCACAATGATGTTTGATTATCCTCCCATCATTAACAATAGTTAAAGAAATAGTCTCAAAACATATTACATATATATATATATGTATATATATATATATGTGTAATATGTATATATATATATATGTAATATGTATTATAACCAAACGTAACCAACATCATCCACCCACCACTGAGTTCCCCAGGCCGAGGCAAAGGGCAACAGATCTTCCAGCTGCGACGGAGCACGGTCGTCGTCACGGTTGGAGTCGCCACCCGTGGTGCGTTTTGTGGACGACTTCGTCGCACCTGCGGCCACCGTTTTTGCCCCTGCAGCTGAGTCATTTTGATCATGTTGTTATAGGAAACTTCCTGGAATAAGCAAATTTCAGGAATAAGCCTGAAATGGCCATTGCCTATCATATAGGAAAATTGGATGAAATTCATGATATATGATAGATATATATATATATATCATATATCATCAATTTCATCCAATTTTCCTATATATATCATATATATGATTATATCTGTGTGTGTACAGTACATTGGATCTGAAAGGTACACCCAGGAACTGACCCGGAGAATGCGGAAAACGCCACTGGCTTTCAGCAACTGATCCAGGGATGCGTCTCAACGTGCCTGCAAAGTCCTTGAACTGCCTGGCATTGCCGTCCATTTGAAAATGGCAACACAAATATACAGCTAATGCCAGTGATGCCAGTAATCCAGACATGAATCAGAATGAATCAGAATGAATCAGATGAACAACTATGTACAGCGGAAACTGCACTGAGGTGGGAATGAGATGAGGGAATTGGTGTCAGAAAGAACGCTGGGATGTGCTTACCAGACATAGCAAAACGTTTCACAATTCATAGCAGTTCATTGAGCAGTTTATCCAGCAGTTCATCAAGCAGCTCATAGCAGTTCCACATAGTTTCACTAGTTCCATTTCCAAGCTTCTGACACATCAGTTTGGAGTGCGTAGAGCTTGTTCAGCACCTGCCAGAGCAAAAAGAAGTGGCATTCAGAAGATTTCAGAAGTGCACATGTACCAAAAGAGATAGCACAAACAAATGCACTGCACGGCAACATACTTTTGCTTGACCGTGTGCGCGTGCTGCAATGATCAGAGAAACTCTAGTGCCGAACTCATGGACTCGCGTTGACTCGCGTCCCACATGCGAATTAGCTGCTGAATTACAGAGCCGAGACTCGCTGAAAGCTCAATGGATTGCACTGAATTGACACACTCGACACTTGTTTCATCAGCCAAGCAACACAGTTGCCACCTCAGTGGAGATGAAAATTCCAGGAATGCTCGGAATGCCTGGTATATCAGAAACATGAAACAAGGGTTGATCAGATGCTCACTATGAAAAGACATGAAAAGCATATAAAATCCATAAAACAATGATCTGTTATGATTTATATATATATATATAATCTGTTCAAATTGGGTCTGTGTCTCTCACCCCACCAGGGGGGGCTCGACGAGCCGGCGTTGGCAAGTCCTGAAGACATGAACCATGAACCATCATGAAACATCCGACCTGCAACAGCTTGGCTCAACAACTGCAACAGATTTCATCAGATTTCATCAGGTTTCATCAGGTTTGGGTCTTCGGTCCTGCAACATGTTCATCTCGCTCTGGACTGACTTGCTGATCGCAGTCTTGTCCTCATCGATCTTCTCAACTCCCAAAATGACACCTGGAACGGGAACGACCAATACGGATACCAAGCCCGTATTTAACCACAACTAGTATGACTTCAGCATTGAAACTTCAGAAAGCAATGGAAATATCTGTTTTTTGCATATGAACTATATATACAGTACAGTATATATATATATTATATATTATATATATTATATATTATATATATTATATTATATATATATTATATATATATTATATATATATATTATATATATTTTGCGAGAGTGGCCAAGAAATAGATCTGAAACGAATGCACCCAGCACTCTTGGCCCTGCGGAGCTGAATTCGCACATCCGGCCTTCGAGATCAGGCTGTGGGCTGGCCTGGTGTCACATCACTAAGGGAAACAGAAGGTCCATCGGAAACCACATATGATTTATACATAATATACATATATATATAATATATATAATTATATATATATGATTTGTATATTTTGTATTGATTTGTTCCTGTCTGGGGTGAATTCTGATATCCATTGATATCCTACATGGGCACAGCAGAAAAAACTGAAGAATCTTCAAATCCCATTCAAAATCGGCTTTCACACCACAGCATATCTCTGATTTGTAGGAGTCCTCTTCAATCTCCACCAGGCTCTCTTCCTTCTCAAGGTCCTGACATCAAGGCAAAGATTTGCTATTCACGATCTTTCACGATCATTCCAAGTTTGGTTTCATGATGCCAGCAGGTATGGAATTCACAGCAAAAAAAATGCGACTCGTCTGACTTCCTCGGATTCCGTTTCCTGCTTGGCTTCCGCTTTGCACGCCTCCTTTGGGCTGTGGATTGATGATATTGATATGATTCATATTGATTCATTGGTTCTGAACATCGGAATTCTACCGGAATTCACCATGACAAAAGAAATCAAAAGGACGCCCAGCCTCATGGTTTGTGCCGGAATGACCAAGGGCTCGGGATGAGAGAATCCATTCACCTAAGCATCGTAAGCAATCGTAAGCAATCGACACAAAATGCAAGAACAGCGCAAGCACCCGTAGCCGCGTACAGAATCCATACTTCCCAGTAACACACAGTAACTTCACAGTAACTTCACAAGTGGCCAGGGCGACTGAGGTGTGAACTGATATCAGTGCCCAGGCAAACAGTGCTAGTGCCACCAGCAGGAACACGGCGAGTGAGTGGAGCTTCATCCGCAACTTCTGTGGATTCGAGCTGAGAAGCTTCAGCAACTGCAGGGCTCTCAGTAACGTTCTCGTTCTCAACACCGAGACAGATGGTGCTCTTCCCTCCTGCAGGAACTCGATGCCCAGTGGTGCGCAGTGGAACTTCTCCCCAGTGGGACAGATGATCTTCTCCTCCAACCGGGCGAGGCTCCGACTTCGACGACTTGCCTTCAGCTGCTTCAGCTGGATCATGGCCCAAGCGGATGGTGGAACGACCCCCCGGAGGGGCGTGCAGCAAAGTCGTAGGGCGATTCGTCAGCACGTTGCCACAATTCTGGTTGTTGCCACAGGCAAAGGCATTGGAGGACACGGGGGCGGCTTCTTTGCCATCCAGGCCAAGGCAAATGCTGGACTTTCCACCTGGCATTCGAATCAACACAGCAGAAGATTGGATTGGCATGGATGAGTCATAGATAATCATAGATATCCAACAAAAACCAGAGGAAGGGGTGGAGAATCGTATCATTCAAAAGCTGTTCTTCTGCTTAGCTCCAACATGCTCCAACTTTGGGCCTGGTGGCACCACTGGTGGCACCAGTTGCTTCACTTCAGGATATTCGCCAAGACAAATCGTTGATCGGCCACCTCAAAAAGCGTCGAAAGCTGCAGGAGTCGCGGAAGGTGAGAAAACGTGTGGAAATGGCTCTGTCGCGCAGTCACAATTCCAATTCATACAGGAACTCTCTGCAATTAAACACTTATGAGAAAATCTGTGAGAAATGTCGAAATCCCATGGAAAACACAGGAAAACACCTGTGTTTTTAAAAATCTTCATCACCGATATCGCCTGGAGGTGCAAGAAGTGTTGTACTTGGTCGCTCCGTGAGGAAGTTGCCACTGTTTTGGGACGTGTTGGACGCGAAGGCATTGGAGGAGATGGCACCTGCCTAGACACAGGAGCTACGGATAGCTACGGTGCTGGTTTGCTGCACAGGATACAGGGGAAAACAAAAATCCCAAGGAAAAAGTGGACTACCTATTAGATACACCAAATTTAACAAACCAAAAATGTATCAGAATATATCGAAAAGAAGATTCAAATGACAAGAATATGGTTGCGATAAGGACTGGATATTATATCGGACAGAGATATATTGCGATGGGCTCATGTTTGAATCTTTGCAATCTGATCGTTTGTGTGATCTTCGCTGTCTGTTTGAAATCTTTGGTTCGTTTTAAGTTTCGTCCCGCCTTCAACTCCGAATCATTCAATCCAAGGCAAATGCTTGACCTTGCGACTTCTCAAACGATTTCAGCATGACCACGCGATCTTCCAACGATACTTCTCACTATTTCATACTATTTCTGAACAACTCAACAGCAACGCAGTAGGCAGTCCCCATCAGCCCTTCTCGTTTTGAAACAATTTCGACCAAGGAACACTCCACCAGGTGCTTGGCGAACTCCAGCCATTTCCTAAGGCTTCGCGACCGCTTCCCCCACGTTAAGCGAATGACTCGAACGACTCGACCAAAGGAAATGAGTCGAAAGGTTTGTTCGTTGACGAGATCCCGTGTTTGTTCGCCAGGATCCGAAGCTTCTCACTTCGAAGCTGGTCATGTAATTCAAACATATTCAAACCAAAGCTGGTCACAAGCTGAGAGTCAGACCGAACTGTCTACGAAAGGGCCTTCAGTTCGGCAAGATGAAGCATTGTGTCAAAGTTAAAAGATCGCTTGAGAGGCTTGAACAAAGGTGTGCCCAATGGTTCAGAAGGCCAGTTGGTGCTTTTCGAAAAGCAGGGAAGAATCCCGGAAATACAGTACTTGATCCACATAAAGCAAAAAAAACAGCTGAGGGCTGCACAAATCAGGACTGTTGCAGAACCAAGCCGAGCTCGGTTGAATAGGAAACGGCTGCGAATATGTCGGCTACAGGTTCAAACCCTGCAAAAACTCTCCTGCCCCATGCACAACAAGTCCGAAACAAGTCCGATAAGTGATGGATCAGGCTCTTTGAATTTGCAACTGGCCCCTGACAAGAGCTCTTCCAACCCCTTTAAGGCTCGAAGATCTTCAAATGATCTCGTCGCGTCCAGCCTTCTCCACTTGAGATGTCTTACTCTCAGGTATGTAGCGGCACCTAAAGCTACTGAAAAATACTGAAAATATGAAGAGTCATTTCCCATTTGCGCTTGCAGCTTGCAACTCTAAGAACCAAGTTTAAGGTGATTTGCCTCGCACAAAGCATGCATTCAAACACAAATCTGAACAGGAGATATTTTCAAATCTTTTCCTGCATCAGTGTCATGAAAAAATGCTCCACTTCCATGCGTCAGCTGATTTCACTTGATGTCCTGCGTGACTTCTGCGTGACTCTGGGCCAGGGACTTCTCAACAATCTCTCGCGCCAAAGATCTTATGTCCTCAGATGTTGTGAGTCCTGGCAGTTGCAATCTCTGGCCACCCTGAAGCATTTCTGTTTCTGCTCGCAATACCTTCCACACCTTTCACTTGACAAATTTGACATACGCTGCATACGCTTTTCGTTTTCATCGGCCTCGCATGGCTTGGCCAACAGGGACTTCACGCTTCTCTTGCGTCTTCTCCACCTGATCTTCGGAATCCGAATCCGGATCGAATCAAAACTGATCAAAACTGAGATTCGAAATGTCCATCCCTTGGAATCCCCGCGCTGATTGGCATCCCATCCTGAAGCATCACGAAGCATCACGAAGCATCACGAAGCGCGCCATAAAGAAACGTCATAAAGTTCTCAAAATGGCTTGCGCTGGAGCATGCCAGACGCGAATTGACAAGAATTTGAGAATGAAAGGGATTTCCGAAAAAAACTTGGTTTACCATGTTTACCGTTAAGCCGAAAGCGGCTTAACCCCGTATTTTTCCATGTTCCCATCCAGCTGACGCTGACCTCATCAAGGTGAGTGACCTCAGAGGTGAAGTTTACCACCTCGGTGCACGGTCGCAGCAGGTTGCGGTCGCAGCAAGGTCGACCATGGCGGCTGGGGCACCAAAGCATCACCGTTAGGGCTGGCTTCAATCTTGCCGGGCCTAAGATTCTACGGCACTGGAAACCATTTGGATTCATTTGGACGATCAAATCAATTTTGTATGAAGTGTACGGCATGACGTGGGAAGCATGACAACTCAGCAACAACTCAGCTCCAGCATGTCGAAATGCCCGCCTGATGTGTTTCTTGACGGGCATCTTGCTACCTGACATGCTCACACAGCCACATCTCTCATTTCAACCGCATCCGCAAGATTCAGATCTGACAATGTCTGACGAAGATACTTAATGATACTTACCGCATCTGCGAGACAAGAACATCAAGTGCAACCACAAAGTAATACAATCTACATCATTTCATCTTGGGAGATCCCAAAATGAACCTCTGATTGGGGACGCTTCATGCCATATGGATAAAGGAATTGGGCTTCCCACATGACAACTATTGGGGAAAACAAAATTCATGTTCCAAACCACCAATCAGTCAATCATATCATCCCAAGAAAAAACATGAAATCTTATATCCATATCCATATCGATCATATCATCCTATATCCCCATGATATCCCCATGATATCCCCATGAAAACGGCCGCCAAAACCGCTGAGTCCGCTACGTCAGCGCCCAGCAGTCGACTCGGTCGATGCCATGGGGCGCAACATCACCCGCCGGAGTGAACCCAGCGAGGCACCTGGAAGGAGGAAACAAAGCAACAACCAGACATTTCATGACATTTCTGCGTCAAAATATGTACAAAATAACACTGATTCAAGATTGTAAGATATAATATTAAGATTGTGTTTCTTTGAGTTGAGGATATCAGAAATACATGTTGAATCAGAAATTTGTCACTGATATATTTCTGTGTGTATTCCTTGTTCCTATTTGAAGTGATGTGGTGATATGTTTGCGGATATCACTAGATTCTGCTGCTTGGACTAGTCCAGATTTCCATTGTACTAGTGGTCCAACTGTCCTTCCAGGGAGCTGTGCTGGACTTTGAGCCGAAGATGTTAAAATTCTGAGTCGTCTCCAGGCAGCCACAAGACCTATTGATTCGCCCTGCCATGTTACCCATTGAAAAACACACCAAAAAAACTGCCACGGAAAAAACTGCCATGGCATTCTGCTAAAAAACACCTCTTTTCCATTCTCGACCTTTCATCGCATCACAGATGTCAACTTCGACACTTCAACTATCTGTCAAGTCCTATGGCAGTAAACTCACTTTTTTGAGCGGTTAAACCTCAGTCTGTCCAGTGAATTGATTGCAACCAGAACGTACATGGCATGACATGGCATCTGAAAAATCGTTGATTGAATTGGTCATAAGTTATCAGTAAAGTGAGGTGAAAGTTCTCTTCTGAAAGACTGAGACACAGTTTGAAGTAAAATTAGTTGAGGATAATCTATCATCATCTATCATCTTTGAAATGTCGTTCAAGGATCATGTTTCAGGAGCAAAATCTCCAGAGGATTTCAATGTCAAAACATGTCAGCTGACCCTGAGAAGCTGACCCTGCTGGACTTTTCCCTTTCTTGGGCCTCTTGGCTTCCTTCAAAGGTAGAAGCAACTCGCCATCCGGATCCTCGGAACACACAGAAACCTCCGGATTTTTGTTGTTGAGATCCCATAAAGTATTCGTATGTGGCAAAAGATGCAAAATCTACATCACCAAAATGACTTAAAATGACATCATTGGCATTATTAGGATATTTATGGATCATGTCATAATATATCATGATATATATCATGATTCATGATATATGATATATCATGATGGCTGTCTGAGTTGTGATGAGTTGATGAGTTCTGTGTTGAAAAACGCCAAGTGTCCCGTAGTCTTCGGCTCTTCAGGATCGGTGCCTGTGAAGCACAGCGGCGAAAAGCGGCGACAGCGCAACGGACGTCGGAAGCACACGTCGCGAGGGCGGAGGGCGGCGCCGCGCCTCTGCCGGCAATGCTTTCACCGCATCTGGGACGTAGACCTTGGGTCAAGTCCAACACCCCAACTGGGTGGGAAATCTGTGGAAATCTGTGGAAATCTGTGGAAATCTGTGGAATGGGTTAGTTATGGTTAGTTCATGTTAGTTCATGTTATTTCGTTGTTTCACACGCTTTCACCATTTCCCTGTCACTTCATCTCACTTCATCTCACTTTGTCACCACGGGTGCGGAATGCTTCAGGTTCTTCGCCCACTTTGGGATGCGGTTTCCCGCAGCAAACTACATGGGCCGAGGTGGCCAAGATGGCCCTGCATCGATGCAGCACTGAACATCACTGAACCACTTTCAGCTCAGGCATCAGGCATCATTTCTAGCCCTGGACAAGTGGCAGGCATCACCTTCATCATCCGTGAAATCACCATCGACAAGGTGGACAGTACATCTTGTTTTACAACTGGAAATGAAAAAGTTCAACTCTGTCAACATCAATGAGAAGGTCCTTATAGTTTCAACCTTTCGAAGTGACACAAAGTGACACAAAGTGACACAACACAGTTCACACAGTCGAAGGGCAACAAACTCAGTACATTCGACACATAGGTTCGCAGGCATGGACTGATCTGTCCAAGTGTCAGTGACTAGGGAAACAGGAGGAAAACACCAGGAAAATCATGAGAAACAAACATGCAGAGAGCAGCAACAGTGCGCTGTTAGGCTGACAGCTTCAGGCTGAAATCAAGCCACGGCGCCACCGGAAGGCAATGGCAGCTGGAATCAACATGGAATCAGCATGGAATGCTGAAGTGACATGCTGAAGTGAAGAACAGCGTCCTAAAAAAAGTCCTTACCCTTTGGTGCCCTAATCGTTGCCCATCCTTTGCCCATGTGCCACGCAACACCTGGGATCCCTGTAAATCAACCATTTTCCTATGGATCCTATGGATCCTATGGATCCTATGGATCCTATGGATCCTATGGATCCCTTGGAACCGGCAGTAAAGGTAAAGTTGACTGCAACCATCTGGCATCCGGATGACATCTCAGGTTTTCTCGGTGTCCCAGTTGGTTTCCGGAAGATCGCCATGGCGCGTCGTGGAGATCGCTGGGAGCTGGGAGCTGGGAGCTGCTTTGAGCCACGCAGCACAGACATGGCCCAGTGGCCAGTGGCCAGCCCAAGGTTGTAAGTGCAAAGCCAATCAGTCAGCAGAAAAAAAAAACACCTGGATGTCAAAAGAACGAAATCCCCGAGTTCAAGTGTTACAATTGTTACATGTTCTAAAAATGCCAAATACCAAAAAACTGCATTGGAGGTAAATCTATATCCTAAATTATCATAATAAGTCTCCCCTCTGCTGCAGAGCCGCCTGTAACTTTGGGACTTGTGAAGGGAAGAGCACCGACTTTGCTCCATCGCTGCGGTCCATGCTGCTGGGCACCACCAAAAGTCCCCAGACCACCAACTTAGTCGAGAGAGTGGAGGTACTGGAGACTGCAAACTGGTCCAATGACAGAAAAAGCCATGTGGTTTAACATGTTTAATACGTTTAACCAAAGATATGCACCAAGTAGTCGTAAATCAAGAGTTGCCAAGGCGAACATTTGCTCATCCAGCAGTCCATGCACCACGTAGTGAGTCCTTTCCATTCCTTTCCATCCATGGTTCATCAAGGTTTATGTGTTTTTCCATGTTTTTTCCATTTGATAGCCATAAAATGAGCTAGATCCATCCCCTTTGAGACCCAAAAAATTCGATTCCTGACCAAAGCCTGAGGCTATGGCGACCAACAGGAACAGGGCGAAGGGCAACACATCCTGGGCGAAGGAACAGGGCACACATCGAGTACCCGGAAGTCGAACGAACCCAGGGGAAACCAGGGGAAACCAGAACTTTTGACCCCAAAATCGGCTTCAGATCCACCAAATTCTGAGGTTTCACCGGTTTCACCCGTTCTGCCGTGATGGGTTTACCCCAGCAATGGCGGTAGCCCCTGGTACCTGGCTTTACGGTGACCGTTCCTACGGTGCCAAGAGACGTCCAGGGTGATCTCTCCGAAGCCTTCCTTGGGAAGTGGACTCGCCAGCCCCAAGGCCTGTGCTCCTTCCTCCGTTGTAGGATCAAAGGCCTCGCAGAAGTGGATGATTTGACAAAGGAGGAAGTCCTAAGTTACTATCTACTGATATAAACATCTAATATATGTCGTTGTATATGATTATATGATAAAGAATTGAATGTAATGAATCAGTAATGAATGTAATGAATGCAATGAATGTAGGGAGTAACAAAACACATCAAAACACCACAAGACTCATCATGACTCATCATGACCCTCCGGTCCCACTGGTCCCACAGGAGCCTCGTTGGTGCCTGTGGTGACCACGCGGACGACGGTGCTGAAGAATTGCGCCAGGTTAGGCATCTGCGGAAAAGTGGTAGGAGAAGAAGATAGAAAATGATTATTTTAAAAAAAAAATGTTTGATCCCATTTGATCCCATTTGATCCCTTCATCCTTAGTTTCAAGTCAAGTTCAAAGATTGGGACAGAACTGTTGGAATCTTGATGAAATGCATCGGTTGTCCTTCGAGTTTTCAAGCCAATTGAAAGCAGTAGGAGATGTAGGAGTTTGAAGTGAGGACGACTAAATATGAAATATCTGTTTTGGCATCAGGGAGAGGAAGTGTAGCCCGTGTAGCCTCGAAAGCTTCTGATCGTGACGGTGCTACAACCGCAGCTGACAAGCCCAGCAAAGCTCCAGCCTGGCAAATGAACTACGCAAGGATCAAACGAGGAAAGCATCATGTGGATCTCATGTGGATCTCATGTGGATCTCATGTGGATCTCATGTGGATCTCATGTGGATCTCATGTGGATCTCATGTGGATCTTGTCGTTTGGGCTCAATGGTTTCTCTTTTCTCCAAAACTTGATGGATTCTTTGGATTCTTTGGATTCTTGAAGCTGTCCACAAGACCGGTAAGGAAAACTTTCGAGAAAGCACACCCAAAGCTGAGAGTTCACAGCATGTCGTACCTGAGGTCTAGTAGGTCTTGACGGGATAAAGGCCTCTCGGCTAATGGCTGCCACCTGGGAACCCCTGGGAACCAAGGGAACGAATCCTCGAACTCATCCCCGATTAAAAGCGGTCACGGCACTGGAGCTGAGCTTCGAACCAGGACCAGGATGACCAGGGCAAAGCCCAAGACTCCCTTGGACTTCGAGAAGGCCATACAGTTCTGAAAGTTCTGAAAGCATCTGGACGATGTAAGGACTCCATGGCAAAGTATTCTTTCGCAGTTTCTGAGGCTCTGGACTCTTCGCCGTCTGAAAGTCGCCATGATCGCTTTGCCAAGTCTCCGAGGTGTCCGAATTGATTGGTACAGTGTCACCCGTGTCACAGGGAACTTAGATCGCTACAGATGATGTTCTGAGGCCAAAGATGGCATTTCTTGTTCGGAACATTTTAGAGTACCGTGCCTTTTGCTGGTGTCCAAATGTTTGTTGGCTGCCCTGTGCCATGTTGATTTAATAAGCTCATGGCACAAGCCATCCCGCTTTTGAATCAATGCTGCAGTGTCAGGCAAAAAACATGGCGCAAACTCATTCTGAGATAACCTCAGAACTTCATGATCTTCATGTAATTGCTCACATTGGTTCCTCGAGGCAGTCGCACTGCTTTTTGAAATTGCTGCGATCGCCACAGACTTTGGTGACAACAATGCCACATTGCTTTCTGCAAGGAGGCGAAACTTGTCCAGTCATACATGATCAATCTTGATCATACATGTTTTTACATGTTTTTCCCACACAACAAGTAGACTAAGTAACAACAAGTAGACCTTCAAAGATGACAAGTTGTCCCTCTCCAATTTCCTCAGTTCAGTGTTATATTGTTTATCTTGGATGCTGGATACTAGATTTGCAGGCGTGTGAAACACAGGATTTTGCAGCTTAGAAAGATGCAAATCTTTGCTAAATATCTGGGCTCAGAAACCCAAGAAACGGCCATCACTGCCCCTGCAGCTTTGACTTTCCGCATTAGCATGGCTATGGCAGCTATGGCAGCTATGGCAGTTGCACAGTCCTTGCCTGATTCCGGTCCCAGCGTATTTTTCATCATCCCACTGGGGGATAGACATGCCTTGCAGCAAAATCAGCAAAATTCATTGGATATTCATTGGATATTCATTGGATATGCAGGTTTTGTCAAAAAAAAACTTCAACCTGCTGGGAGCCATGAAGAAAAAAAACGGAAACGGCTGATGTGTTTTTTCATGTCTTGTTGCGCTGATTTGGTCAGCCCCAGCCACTGTGCTCATCTTTATTCATCTTTGCAGTTTCCGTTTGAGTCCTATCTTTGCCGAATTTCCATGAATTTCCACGTTCCAACTCTGAGGCAAAGGCTCAAAGTTCTGGATGAAAGCCCACGTCTGGGAGGTACAGTGCTCATGTTGCCTTGCAAGTGGAGCAATGCGCAGCTTATCCATTGGTTATCTTTACAAAATGATAGAAGCCAAGCAGCAAGCCTGGTGGCCTCGTGCCTAAAGATTCTAAGATGTGTTATACTTCAACATTTATAATCATTTATCATATATCATCATTTTATAATGCATTTATCATCATGTATCATCATTTATCCACATCATTTTACAGAGAAAGACTGATAAAAATGTCAAAGATGTGGGAAATCCATCAGGAGCTTCTCCGCGGTGCATCTTTTTCGCCGCTACGCCATCTCTACGCCGCGGGCCAATCGCGGCATCCCCAGCGAGAACCGCCGCCGGCGGCGCTGGAAGACCTAGCCATGTCCCGGACCTTGTGGCTGCCGTAAGCGAAAACCTGCGAGACAAGTGGAGCCAAGAGGAGCCAAGAGGAGCCAAGTGGCCAGAGCTAAGTGGCAACAAACTAAAGATATCTAAAGAATTCTAAAGATATCTAAAGATATCTAAAGATATCGATGTTAATCGTGTTCGACAAGAAAACCCATTGGACTGATTCAATGATATTCAATGTTTGTCTCTGAATGAGATTTTAGATCGTCGAATTGGCAGCGCAAAGAAATTGGATGCGGACCCGCACAACCAAGTCTTCAGACCTTAACAGTGCTGGGACCATCAAACCGAATCAAACCCCAATGTTGAAATGTGTCCTTTGATGTCCTTTGCGTATCGATTCGATCTGTGATTCTGGCTCTGGTAACGGGGGTGGTGGGGATGATGCTTGCGTGACTTCGACGAACATCTCCTGACAGTCACAGCTGAAACGGAAGAAATGAAGGATGGAAAAACTGACACCGTCTCACAAATGGCAATTGCATTACCAATATCACAAAACTGCACAAAACTCCTCCTCTCTGTCTTCTTTGGGATAGCCTGAATTTCCATTCACGTTCTGCTCACTCTCTGCCTCAGTGAGCGTAGTCGGGTTCTGCTCCACAATATCAGTTCAATAAGACAGTTCTGACTCGATCAGTCTACAGTGGCATATTCAACGAGAGCAATTCAAGAATGATCCAGCAAAAAACACAACAGCTAATATATTAGCTAACATGTGAAATTGAGCTTGATAAGTAAAAGCTCCAACAAATTTCGTGTGACATTGAAACACTCCCAAGTTTCCATGATTTTGGTGTGCCATGGGTTTAATGGTTCAACGTTGGGCCTCCATCTCGGCTTCTGTTTTTACAGTGGCATTGGCAGCAGCACCGCCGCCTCCCTCCTTCCGTGGCTGGGACTAATGTGGGATATACGTGTAAAATGCAGTGCAACATAATGCAAAACGCAGGCACGCGCAGAAGATTCCATGTTAAGCTGAAAACAATGAAAACAATGCGTACCTGTGGTCGTGGAGTGGGAGAATGTGGGAGAGATGGATAGATGTATGCAAAACATGGCAAAAACATGGGGAAGAAAAAGAACTAGAAAGCGAAAATGGATGAAAATGGTCTGAAACTTTCGCTGTCCATCACCGAGAGAATTCGTCTGCGCTCGCAAAAGTTATTCGTCCCGGTGCGGTTTTTGATAGTCGAAACCCACGATCCACCGAGAAGACTGTGCAGGGACCTCCGAAATCGCAAGTCAAGTGTACCATATGTACAAAACTTTCAAACAAGACAACACGTGATTCCATTGTAGTTTCTTGGTATCCATGGCCCCCTCTGATTCTACAAGCATCTACAAGCCCTGTCAGTTCGATTTCCAATCGTATCCCAAGGCATGTCCAATATCATCACTATATTATTCCAGCATGCTTCCAACATAGGTCCAGTAAAGATCCATCATGCAGGTACGACTTTTTACAACATGATAATGCCCAAAAACACCACAACGACACCACCAAAATGAAAAAAACTGTGCACAACAAAAAAAAGAGGAACAGCAAATGAATCAAATGAACATATTCCCCTCCGTCCTCCATCCCCACAATCCTTGGTACCTCGTCCACAATCAAAGGCGTTTGACACTCGCTGGACCAAGCGGTTGGCAGACTAAATGACAACGACGATGCCTTTGAGAAAAAAACGAAGAAAGAGAAGAGAAAGAGAAGAAAGACAGAGAAAAACAATCAGTAGAAAGAGAATCCAGAAAGACAGGAGATGGCAAAGGAGAGAAGGTGTGAGTTGTAGATGCGTAGTGGTGAAGTGTGTAGATCTGCGATGTGCAGATGTGAAGTATGTGGCTATGTGAAATGTGTAGCCATGAAGCATGTAGCTATGCGAAGTGTGTAGATGTGAAAGGCGTGGATGTGATGTGTGTGTGTGTAGATGTGCAAATCTAAAATGTGTAGATGTATTGATGTGAAGATGTGAAATTTGTAGGTACGATATGCAGATGTTTTCTCACGTGATTATTTTCGAAGAACTTTTTGCTCAGGCGCTTCAAATGAATCTGGTTGGTTGAAAACAGAAAAGCGGGGGCAAACCAACACTGGTGGGGAAAACAATGCCGGAGACATTCAAAGATCAATGCAAGAATCATCCAGAATCATCCAGCATCCTGTGTACCATGAACAATGCCTCCATTGATGCTGTGCAAAAGTCGTCAAATGCTACATCCTGCCACTGCCACACAAAACACCACGGCACTCCTTCCTCTGTGCTCCACCCCGGCTCCGGCCCTTCGGCTGCCAGTTGAAGAGAGCCAACTCCAGCTTTTGGTCCTTCGACACAAGAGCAAACGCAAACCAGCGGCCGAAAATGTTCCAAGGACGATCCGTGAAATCTCGGGCAAAGCAGGGCCTTCTCAGCAAGCTGGCACTGCAAAGCTTCCTTCCAACCTTCTCAGCTCGCTCCAATAGTTGGGAGAATTGCAGAATTCAAGCAAAAACATGAAACCATGGAAAAACATTCAAAAACTGTGGTGTTTTCAAATTCATCTGAACAGAAAGAAACCTCTTCAAAAAGCCATTTATCGCAAACGATGCATTGCACCAAACTGCACCATGCACCACCATGCACCACCATTTCCATGTGTAATGAAAGAGTTGCACCCAAGTGGCCGTGCAAGGTCCTACCCGTACCTTGATTTGGACAGTGCTACAGGACTGTTTGACCATGTTGACCATGCAGCACATTTTCCTTTCGCAAGTTGCATGTGTTCCATATTTTTCTATATGTTTTACGGATCAAAATGATGAAATCTATTGAAATTTGTTGAAATTTGTCGCACAGTGCCTTCTGTGACTGCTCCGCCAAGCTGCTCCAAATCTCCACCCGCCGAACCTCTCGGCGCTCGGAGGCGACGCCAACGATGCCAACCCGACACCGAACAAAGATCCGGAAACTTCGCAGCGCGCCTGTGGGGGCAAGGTCCGCGACAAGAAGTGCGCCTCAGACCGAGGTGAAACACGACATGTGCACAACATGTGTACAACATATGTGTTTCATATGTGTTTCACCGTTGTGGAACTGTTGAAACATGGCGACAGGTCACTAGAATATACTAGAATTACGAGAAGAATCCATGAAAAATGCAGTGAAACATCTGGGAACAGAATCGGGTGCCTTGAGGCCAACGCCTTGCAGTTCCGCAGGCGATCAAGGCCACATCGACCGTGGTTCCTGCCACTTAAAATGTAACCCTTGTCGTCGCATTGTCGTCGCATTGTCGTCGCATATGTCGCACATGAAAGGATAGGACATGGCCAGGTACTTCCAGAGAAAATCTGAAACTTCGACTCATTGATCCAAGATGACCCAAGTGCGTATGAACAGTCCATAGCCTGTATCCTATCCTCATCCCACGAGCTGCACCTCGTACTTTGCAGGGTATGTTGCCGCCATCCGTAGAGTTGCTGAGGCACCTGGCTCAATAAAAATAACTATACATATATTATACCTATATATGTCAATATATGTATTTATATATATATGCATGTATAATTCATGAATTAACTTTATATTAGTACATCATTGATATTGGTGTCTTCTCCAATTGTTTTCTCCTGTCTTTTAGGGTCGGACTCTGGGCGAGGCACCTTGCCAATGCGAGCACCAGCCTCTGCGAGGCGCCTTGACTCCAGTGAATCGATAGGTTTTCTATGGGTTTCCCACAGAAAGAACATTAATATAGTATAATTAACCCAGCTTTGCAACCCAACAGCATACCTGAATCTTCCACCTACGTCTTTTTTCAGACCCTGTGCCAAAGTCCTGTTTTTTCAGTACCCAGAAAACTTTTCAGGACCTACTCTCAAATTCAGGACCTGGCCATTTTGGGGTATCAATGGTAATGGCAATCATTGGGTGCAAACATGTGAAACCAACATTTGGTGGATATTCAAGCCATTGGCATTGATCCACGCAAATAAAAGCACTCCCAGCCCAAACTCATGGCAAGGCAGGATCAGAATATAGTATATTCCAGAAAGTATGTCAGAATAGATGCCAGATAGGATGCCAGAAAGAATGTCAAATAGAATCTCAGAAAAGAATGTAAGATAGTATGTCAGAACATATATGCCACATATACGTCCAGATGATATGTCAGAAACTATGTCAGAATAGTGTGTCAGGGTGGGGATCACTCTTAGTAAGGCAATTTTGAAAATATATTTCAGGTTCGGAATTTTCAAACTGTTGTCCTTCAGGCGCCGAAGCTCCCGTTGAAGGTCAGCATCGCCCCATGTCAACTGGTCCAGTCCCACTTCCATTTCAACAAGTCCAACTTCATCGATTAGGGTGTTGGTTGAATGGACTTGGGACTCTAGCTGGCACGGCATCCCTTGTAACCCTGTAGACACTGTAGTGGGCAAAAAGATTGTAACACACAGAATCAGCATCATTTTGATCAGGCATTCTTTTTGCTAATCCTTTCTCCCTATTACGAAAAATACCCCCAAATGACAAAAACTAGGTGCGATTTCCAATTTTGGGAAATGTCAAATTGGTTAATCTGATTTTTAATTGATCCCCTTGAGGAAACAATTTTAAAAATGAAGGTACCATGTGAGGGTTTCACCCCCAAAGAATAAAAAACTAGTCAACACCGGGGTGTCTTTTATTGGGGTCCGTCCTTTAAAATCGTCAATTTTAGTTTTTTTAATTCAGGTGTTGGTGTTTTATTTGATACTAGGCGAAAGCTTCGAAATCCTATTCTTGGCAGTATTCTATTTAAAGATTATTTTCATGGATTTTGAAATTAGAAACAAAAACCGGTTTAATCCCTTCCCCCTGTTGCTAAACAGTCGCCCCTTCACCCACCCACCCAAATAACAAACACCTGGAGGAGTTTTTAGTATTGGGGGGTCTTTAGTATTAGGGTACGAAGTTTCCCCCTAATACTGATAAAACACACACACACACATATATATATATACACATATTTCTATTTCAAAATCGATCAGATTTCTTTCTTTTTAAATCCAATTAAAATATGGCAAACAAGTGGATTCCGAAGCTTAATATCAAATAAAAACCCCCAACAAAAAAAAAAATGTATGTTTTTCTATTTCGAAATCGATTAGATTTCCTTTTAAAAATTAAATAAAATATGGCCAAAAAATTGGATGTCGAAGCTTTTCCCTTATATTAAACCCTAATATCATTTTGTTTTTTTTCCTGTTTCAAAATCGATGAGATTTCCTTTTGAAATCTAATGAAAAAAACAAAGAATTGATTTTGAAGCTTTCCCCTAATATCAAATTAAAATCCAATTGTTAAAATATGTTCAAAAATTGGATTTTGATGCTTCCCCTAATCTTGCATGAAAAATTCCAATATAAAAAACTAAATTTGTTCTATTTCAGAATCGATTAGATTTCCTTGTAAATTCAAATTAAGATATTGCCAGAAATTGGATTTCGAAGCTTTCCCCTCATTTTAAACCCTCATATCAAAGACTATTTTTTCTATATCAAAATTCATTAGATTTCCTTTTGAAATCTAATTAGAATATGGTCAAAAATTGGATTTTGAAGTTTTCCCCTAATATTACATTAAAAAACCCTAATATAAAATATTATTTTTCCTTTTTTGAAATCGATTCGATTTCCTTTTAAATTGTAGTAACAAAAATAAAAACAAAAACCGGATTTCGAAATGTTTCCTCTAATATTAAATTACCAGCCCTAATATATTTTAAAAAAAAACTGTTTCAAAATCGATTAGTTTTCTGTTTAACATATAATTAAGATATTGCTAAAAATTGGATTTCGAAGTTTTCCCCTAAGATTAAATTAAAAACACTAATAAAAAAAAACTATGTTTTTTCGATTTCAAGAATCGATTAGATTTCCGTTTGACATCCAACAAAAATATTGCCAGGAAATGCCAAAAAGTGGATTTCGAAGTTTTCCCCCAATATTATATAAACGTTGTAATATAAAATACTTATTTTTTCGACCTTAAAAGACCCTAGTTTAAAAAATCACCGGGGCTGACTAGTTTTTATTTTTTGGTGGTGAATCCTGGAATGGGACCTTCATGTTTAATTTGTTTTTGAAAAGGTATCAATTAAAAGTCAAACTGGCCAGCCTGAAATTTCCCAAAATTTAACACGGACCCTAGTAAAAGGAATCAATGTAATATTTTAGTATTTAGGGTACGTTTAGTAAAAGGAGGTGGGGATTAGTAAGGTTTTCAATTTAATATAAGGGGAAGCTTCGAAATCCAGTTTGGCAAGATTTGAGTTAGATTTTGAATAGGAATTCAATCGGTTTTGAAATATAAAGTTCATTTTTTAAAACGAATGTTTTCAATTTAATGTCAGGGGGAAGCTTCGGAATCCAATTTTGGCAATATTTTAGTTAGATGTTATTTAAAAAATGTTTTCCAATTTAGTTTTTTTAACCAAGGGGGAAGTTTCGCACCCTCATACTAAATACCCACTAAATACAAAAAACTATTCCGTGTGTTCATTATTGGGTGGGGAGGGGCAGACGGTTTATTATGACGCAGGGATTGGTCAGGCATCACTTGCTGGAATTATTGGATTCTTTTGGGATGATTGGTATGATGTTTAGTCAGGCATGGTTCCCTTCAGTCATGCACGATTTTTGCAAAAATCCTATTTAGGCACGACCCCAAAATCCCAGCCCGGCAAATTCCGGCCCGGGCCCGGCAAATTCCGGCCCGCGCCCTGCAAATTCCGGCCCTGCGTTTTTCCAAAATCAGGCAAAACCAGTAAATCAGGTATTAAGTCAGGTGTAGTTACCTTTTAAGTCATTAAGGCTAGTCAGGCATGGTTCCAGTGGGTACCTTTTAATTGTGAAGGCTAGTCAGGCATGGTTCCCTGAATTCAGGGGCATGGGTACCTTTTAATTATGAAGGCTAGTCAGGCATGGGTTCTGTTAAGTCAGGCGTGGGTGGGTACCTCTTAATTATGAAGGCTAGTCAGGCATGGTTCCCTTAAGTCGGGTGTGGTTACGCTTTAAGTCATGAAGGCTAGTCAGGCATGGGTACCTTTTAAGTGATGAAATCTGAATCAGGCGGAGCTCCTATTCTAAATGTGTTAAATCCAATTGTTCAGTGTGGAAAATCGATTTTTTGGCTGGTCTACGGGCAAACCCTGTGTCTTCCAATACCATAGCGTGCTGATGTCGCTTGCCTGCATAATAGTTAAGGCCAAAGCTTAGGTCATCAGTGTGATCCTGAAATGGCGCCACGACCAAGAAGATGACATGTGTAAAATGGGCCCTGGATTAACAAAGGCTGACTAATGAATTTGGAGGATGCCACTAAAGTATGACATGTAATCACTTTTGAGGAGCACTCTATGGCACGCAGCGCGCGCAGCCTGCTTTACGGTTTAGCGTTTGAAAGTTTTAGGCTTTGCCTCAATGGCACGCAGCGTTTGAAAGTTTAACCGTTTACCTCAGGTATTAAGTCAGGTGTAGTTACCTTTTAAGTCATTAAGGCTAGTCAGGCATGGTTCCAGTGGGTACCTTTTAATTGTGAAGGCTAGTCAGGCATGGTTCCCTGAATTCAGGGGCATGGGTACCTTTTAATTATGAAGGCTAGTCAGGCATGGGTTCTGTTAAGTCAGGCGTGGGTGGGTACCTCTTAATTATGAAGGCTAGTCAGGCATGGTTCCCTTAAGTCGGGTGTGGTTACGCTTTAAGTCATGAAGGCTAGTCAGGCATGGGTACCTTTTAAGTGATGAAATCTGAATCAGGCGGAGCTCCTATTCTAAATGTGTTAAATCCAATTGTTCAGTGTGGAAAATCGATTTTTTGGCTGGTCTACGGGCAAACCCTGTGTCTTCCAATACCATAGCGTGCTGATGTCGCTTGCCTGCATAATAGTTAAGGCCAAAGCTTAGGTCATCAGTGTGATCCTGAAATGGCGCCACGACCAAGAAGATGACATGTGTAAAATGGGCCCTGGATTAACAAAGGCTGACTAATGAATTTGGAGGATGCCACTAAAGTATGACATGTAATCACTTTTGAGGAGCACTCTATGGCACGCAGCGCGCGCAGCCTGCTTTACGGTTTAGCGTTTGAAAGTTTTAGGCTTTGCCTCTATGGCACGCAGCGTTTGAAAGTTTAACCGTTTACCTCTATGGCAGGCTGTGCGCGCAGTACGCGTTACGGTTTAAAGTTTGAAAGTTTTAGGGTTTATGTGTGTGGCACGCAGTGCGCGCAGCGCGCATTAGGGTTTAGGGTTTGGAAGTTTTATAGTTTATTTTATTGCATGCAGCGTGCACAGCGTGGGTTGAACTTTAGGGTTTCGAAGTTTTAGGGTTAACCTCCATGACACGATGGTTTAGGGTTTGGAGATTTTAAGGGGTACTTCTATGGCACACAGCGCGCGCAGCGCGCGTTAGGGTTTAGGGTTTAGGGTTTGGAAATTTTAGGGTTTACCTCTATGACACGAGAGTTTCAGGTTTGAAGATTTTAGGGTTTATTTCTATTGCACAAAGCGCGCGCAGCGCGCATTAGTGTTTAGGGTTTGAAGGTTTTAGGGTTTATCTCTGGCACGCAGCGCGCACAGCACGCATTAGGGTTTAGGGTTTGGAAGTTTTAGGGTTTATTTTATTGCATGCAGCGCGCACACCGCGGGTTAAACTTTAGGGTTTGGAAGTTGCATAACACGATGGTTTAGGGTTTGGAAATTTTAGGGTTTACTTCTCTGGGACACAGCGCGCGCACCGCGCATTAGGGTTTAGGGTTTGGAAGTTTTAGGGTTTACTTTATTGCATGCAGCGCGCGCAGCGCGCATAGAGTTTAGGGTTTGGAAGTTTTAGGGTTTCAAGGGTTCCAAGGTTCCAGGGTACCAGGGTCCCACGGTTTCAGGGTTCCAAGGTTTCCAGGGTCCAAGGGTTCCAAGGGTTCCAGGGTTTCAGGGTTCCAGGATCCCAGCAGGGTGCCAGGTGTGCAGGGTTGCAGGGTTCCAAGGTTCCAGGGTTCCAAGGTAGCAGGGTTCCAGAATCCTTGAGGGTTCCTGGGTGCCAAGGTTCCAAGGTTTCAGGGTTCCACGGTCGCAGGGTTCCAAGGTTCCAGGTTTAGGGTTCCAGGGTTCCAGGGTTCCGGGGTTCCAGGGTTCCAGGGTTCCGGGGTTCCAAGGTTTCAGGGTTCCAGGGTTCCGGGGTTCCAGGGTTCCGGGGTTCCAGGGTTCCAGGGTTCCAGGGTTCCAGGGTTCCATTCCGGATTTTGAAGGCTGCAAGTCCCCACGAGCCAGCCCCAGCCCTAGAGATTGAAACCCAACAGGCCCTGCTGTTGGGAATATATAGTATATCTCTCAACGAGAGTAGTTGACCCCTCAATACCACACCTTCAGGGGGGTGAGTCGCTAAAAAAAACGTCAAAGGTGGTTGGTGATGTTTCACCGCAAATCAAAACATGGTGAGAACATGGTGCTGGAAAACACAGCACTGCAAGATTGGTGGAAAGACACCTAGTATTATGGTAAACCGCAGGGCAAACTGTCCAGCTGCTTTAGAATTGCACATGCACTTCAAACCTGGCACGTTCAAACAAGTCATTTTGCTCTGCATCTGGAATTGACAAAGGTTGGGATATGCTTGAAGAAGTCAAAGTAAAAGTATGTAAAAGTACTGTAAAGGCTTCTGGTTCTGGCTACAGAAACTTAGAGTCGAAACGTCGTTGGCCATGCGTCTCGACAGCTTCGACAGCTTCGACAAGCAGCATCCACGTATCGATATCGATCGGCCATCCGGGAAGGTCTCGATAGCCATTCAGAGTTTCCAACAGCAGAGACCTGCAAAAAAATCTCGTCAAATCTCTCGACTCAACGGAATCAACGGACAAAAATCACACATCACAAGACATGATTTAAAAAATACAAAACAATATCAAACAATATAAAATATGTCTAATGGATCCTGGTGATGTGTTTGGTTCAGATGGACCAATCAGACTTCAATGGTTTCAGCTCCGTGTCGTCATTTTTTTGGCCACCGGACCTTGGATACAACCCCGACTGATGCAGCGCGGGAATCTCCACGAAACGGTTCTGCATCAGCTCCTCGGCGAAGCGATGAAGCGTGCGATCTATCCGCAGATCTGTGCGATCTGTGCGATCTACGATTTTCAGCCCATGTCATCCCATGTCATGCCATTCATCCCGCGCCTCAGGTTGAAGAAGCCCATTCTGCCAGTTGACATAAGTGTTCATGCCCTGAGTCGAGAGGAACCAGAGGAGGAACCAATGGGAGCACGTGAGGCACCGCACCATGGGGGACCCCGATTCAAACCCTTCAGGCCTCGGAGACTGTTCCAAAAATCCGCACTTGACTGCACACGGCTGTCCAATCTGGATGTTCCTTCATTGCATCCTCGGTAGAGTTGAAACATGAAGAAACAGCAGATCTGCCACTTTTCAACAACACGTTCCACTTGAATCCTAACTGTTGGAGTATCCCGGTATCCAGAAAACGCTATACAAACAGCACTTCGGATGCCTTCAGTTTTGCACGAGGCAGCACAGTGTCGGGGAACTTTTTTCAGATTGGCTCACAGAATCTTTCTCGAAGCATCCAACAGTTTCTCGAAGCGATCAGCTTCTCCTCGATCGTCCGCGTCCATGAGACCTGTCTGATCTGTCTGCTGTCCCCAGCTCCATACCAAAATACCAAAATACCAAGGTCAAGACAGACCAAAAGAATTTCTGATGACGGAAAGGGATGGAAAGGTTAAAACTAATACTCATCAACAGAATGCAAAGGCCACATCACAGAATGCAAGAGCCAATAGCACTGAAACTCGGATGTCATAGAGTCATAGACTTGCTCTGGCTGGCCTATGAGCGAAGATGAGGAAGCCTGAAGGCAGGCCTTACTGTCAAGTCGGCTGCATTCAAATAGGCGCCAAATAGATAGCCCTACTTACTAGGTGGAAATGAGAGATGGAACAAGGAAGGAGCGGGAAACTGCCTAAATTCAGAATCTAGAGCTTGAACAGCGATTGACGAAGTTGAGCAGTCGACAGAATTCAAGCTTGGATGATCACTTCAAAAATGCAGAAAGATATAGCTTTCGTGTAAAGGCGAGAATCATTCTGTGCAGCACCTTGTCCTCGACCATCACTTTTCCTCAGGTGTTCTTGGATCAGTTGAAATCTCACTAGTACCAGTGGCATTGGTATATCTTTGCTGCACAGAATCCGAACAAATCCCAAGCAGATCCCAGAGAGGCCCGAGAAACCGGTTGCCCGGTTACCAGTCGTCAGAACCAAACATGTTCTCTTTCAATCCTATCAGTACCCCTAGGGGTGCCTTCCAAAGTGCCTCAACGACGACATGACGCAGCACAGCGTCAGCAAGACAAAGCGATGCCCACGAGATCGCATCTTCTGTGCTATCTCCTCTGGATTTGGCACCGGATTGGAGTCCTCTCCAATCCACGGCTCCTGCAACTCTTAAAGAGGCGCACTTTGCACAGCTGACCATCTGCATTTGGCATTTTGGCATCTGGGCAAAGACAGATGTCTATTTCTATTTGCTTCAAGATCTATGGCTAGTAAGAGCTCTGCACATCTGCACTAGCTCTAGACTTTGGAGATCTCTATTCAACATCGAGGGACTTCCAAGATTGTTCCGAAATGTTCCCGACTTCATTGAGATGAACACCCATCTTTCATCATCTTTCATCATCTTTCATCATTTTTCATCATCTTTCAACACCCATCTTCCATATCTATCCATATCTATCCATATCTATCGATATCTTCCATTGGGAGACAGATTGAAGGCTCCTGGCGAACCCAGGGCGAGTCTGATGTTGGCGTTTCAAGTGCAGCATGTGATCGCTCTGGTGTCGTTGGTGCCGATACCTGGAAGAAAAAAGGAAGGAAAAATGAAGAAAATGGGCAGGAAAATGGAGCATAAACGGACCATTCATATCATTCCTGGTGATTTACATTGATTTACAATGAAAAAAAAGAATGGCGACTGGAAAGCGACAAGAGGGTTTGCACAAGAGGTCACAGTCTTCACACGGCAACAAAAATTAATTAATGAGAGGCACCACCCCAATCTCAATGTGTGCTGTGTGTGGCCTGTGTTCATTTGTAGGCCGAAAATGCGCCGCGCTATGTCGAAAGCAACTGAGAAATCAACGACGAAATGAGAACATGGAAAGACAAAACCGACAAAACCGAGAAAACCGAGAAAACCGATACGATCTGAAAATATCTGAAATTTCGAAAGAGATGTGCTGCGCATCACATCGCACCCTGCCTGGTTTTCCACCCGTGACTGCAAGGTTTCCAGCCACTCAGTGGAACCGTCGCGGCTGCCGTCGTCACAGATTAGGACTTCCAACGCAACGCTGCTGGAAGCCAGGTCATCTACAGCCCAAGGAAGGAAAGGCATTCCTGGGCCATGGGACACCATGGGACAGTAAAAAATCACACGACTTCATCATGTTGTGTCAAAAATCATGTTGCAGTGCATCATGTCAAAAATCTCTTCAAAGGACTCCCCGAAAAATGTGAACCTATGGATCACCCCGGAATTCGGATCGACAAACTGCAAAAACTCTGGAAGCACCGCCATCACCCAGATTCCATTGCGACAGGGCATGATCACAGAGATCATCATGTGCTCTGCCGGCTGAACGCTCAGCATCGTTCAAGTGATCCCCTTCAGCCCCCGGCGAAAAGTGCGACATCAGAGTCTCTGTTTTGCCGGAATGACTTGTTGGCTCACTTTTTGCTCTTAGACATTGCCTTGAAAAATACCTTTGGCATATTTTGGCATTCTAGTGCCTTTGGCCTATTCGGATCTATTTGGTATTTACACATTAGTCTTGGAAGCTAAAAATTGAAGCAGTTGCCGAGTGCTGAAGCATGAACGAAACAATTGGGCAAGGCTCCGATAGGCTTCACATCGCTTCACTAGGTCCTTTTGAAATCACTTCTGATCTTGCCGGAAATATACGGACATCAAAATTCATCCCGTTTCATGCACATATTCTCTGTCTGTTGCTGTCTGTTGAGATCTGTATATCACTTTAGAGAGAGAAACCCTTCATGATTCACAGCTTGAAATCAGCAAAGAGCTGAAGCAGATTGGACGGTGGCAAACATGGTAGCAAATGGTGAGCAATGACTTGCATCGTGCCTGCACTGACTGTTCACATCCGACATGAATATGGATGGAATATTATTCAGTATAATATAGTATACTAATGTCGGGTTGTGTTGGTACGGACATCTGAAGTATCCATTCAAATGTGAGTCATATATCACATATATCCAAAAAGTTCCAGAAAAATCATCCTGGTGCTTCAAGTGATGTGCTTAGAACTATCATGATGAAATGCTGACATTCTCCCGCCTGAAGATTCTCCTCCGGGCCAGGAAAACGATGTAGCGTATCTCAGGCCAAGAGGCCTTAAAACAGCATATGTTCGATGTGGAAACTGGGGAGTTTCCCCGTTTGTTAAAGAAAAAAAAACATGGTGTGAAACCACAGTTTCACCATGTTTCACCCATCGTTGGTTCAAACTTCCGGTGTTTCAATCATTGGGAATGGTCAAAAAAAGCTTCCAGACTGAGGCAGGCTACTGAGGCCGGGGTCGATCCGCACATGAACGACCAAACAAGCCTGGCCAATGGGGCCAGGTCGAGCCATCGAGGACCAGGTGAAATCTATGAATCGTCTATGAAGCCTCCAAATTCAGAAAAAGTAACTCCAAAATCTCCAAAAAAGTAACTTCAATGACTCCAAAAAAATGACAAAGTGGAATCCTTCACTGCAACTCCTCGATACTCCTTGTTCCCGCCTGTGTCCCTGTCCAAGGAGCTCGGCAGCAAGGAAGGTACTCGCCTCAAGTGCTTGAGCAAACCATCTTAGCATGTCATTTTACATGTATCTCTACTTTCACAGCTCTACTTTCAGTATCTTTCAGTATCTTTCAGTATCTTTCAATGAAGCGGAACGTCTCTGGATGCAGTGAGGAAGGGATTGCCAGCCGCATGAGGTTTTGGCTCAAAGCTCCATTTCCGAACCTGCAGTCACTTGGGAAAGCGTGTGGCGAAACTAGAATGACCATGCAATGACCATGCAAAACCTCTACCTAGCAGCCCTTTCAATTTGAAAGCGTGAATTCTGCAGACACACCTCACTTGGTCCCACGTTCTGTCACTTGGTCCCCTCTTGAATGCCATCATTTGCTAACCGTAAAGCGATGTAAAGCGCAGTGCAACTCAAATCTTCTCAAAGGCAACTCAGTTTCCGGTTGAGTTTTGGTTTGGTGAAGATTTGAGATAGAAAAGCGTCTGAACGAAAAGATTGCGTTTTGGAAGAACGAAAAGGTACGAAAAGGTACGAAAAGGCAAAATCTGATCTAATCATCATCTGAGTTGATCATGTTGATCCTTGACTTCTTTGCGGAAAATTATCTCTGCCAGGGCTGCTGCAGGAGTTGTTTCTTCACGGCTGAGGATGCTAGTGCCTAACATGGCAAAGCAAACCCCAAACGACAGTCCTTGACAATGGTGCTGAACACAACACATGCCACACAATGCTGGTGCACGAAGGAACAATAGACATCGATTCATGGATCGCATTACTATATTTCACAATACAGACAATACACATCCTATGCTTGTCTGGTCAAGTCTGGTCACTGTGACATACGACTTCGACGACTTCGTCATAATTTAAGGACGGGCGGCCGAAAGCGCTGACGCTGGCGGTCGGCATTGGCCGCTCCTGCAGCAACCAAATGTGGTGCAAAATTGGTTGGGCTAGTTGCAACTGTTATCGTCTCAATGTGACATGATGTGACATGTAATCAATGTAATCCAGAGATCACAGCTCTACCACCTAAGACGTTACCATGTCTCATGTTTCCCTAGACAAGCTTTCAAAGACTTTACTGTCTGGTAGGAAAGTTAGATTGTTGGAAAGGAAATTGGGCCATGGATTGTTTCGTAAAGTGATCATAATTGTTCTGTGTCTTCCAGGGGATGTTTATCCGTTTGATCCCCACAATCCGATGGTCCACGACCTGCCACGTGCGATTGAAAGCCTCTATGGGCTGGCCTGGGAGATAACAAGAAATATCACAACCTTTGCTATGTCAAGGGTAGGACACTTGGCAGACTTGGAGGGTTGAATTTGAAAATCCCATCTGAGATCATCTGAGATCACAGCTTTCTGGTTCTGGTTTTCGAGGCACACGGCCCTGATAGCGCTGTGGCCGGTCAGATTCTCTAACGGCCATAAAAAAAAAAAAACATCGCTCACATCGCTCACCTTCGTCCATCCTTCGTCCATCCTTCCTGGTCAAATGATGTCAAATGCAGCAACAAGAGATGCCGAGATGCCTTGATGAGAAGCAGTGCCCGTTTCAGGTCATCCCGGTGTTCTTTCGACCTCAGCCCAATCAGCACAGTCAGCACAATCAGCCCACAGATCTCATCGAATCTCGTCTAATTTCGAGAACAACTGGGTGAGTAGAGCTCGTAGCCATTCGAGAAATGGGGAAATTGGGCACCCAAGCATAAGCTTGCGAAAAGGGCATTGGAAGCATGTTGAAATCACAAAGCATGTTGGAAGCAAATTGAGAAAGCAAATTCACAAAGCTTGCACATGCTGAGATTGGTTCACCACACGGAAGATGGTATCACCCAAATTTGAATGTTTTAAATGGTATCAGCAATGGTCAGCTTTGTCACCCCTTGCTGGCAAGAATTGGAAGATATTGAGCATATTTATTGAAAGATTCAAAAATGATAGCTATTCAGACTTGAAAAATGCCATAAGAAAAGGCAATCAGAATGGCTGTTTGAAATTTAAAAAGAAGCGGAAAGACTGGGAAAGAAAAAGAGCATGAACAAATCTCCATGAACCTTCAAAAGAAAACTGCTTCTTCATCTTTCATTTAGCCACGTCATTCAAGGAATTCAACTTAAGAACCAAAAAGCATACCTGAGCACAATACAGTAAGTAATAAGTAATAAGTATATATAAATATGTATACATCAAAGACATTCTGAAGACATCAGCCGACATGCAGAAATGTCAGTAAATGTCTTCTCCTGTGAGCTGGCTGTTTTTGGCAAGGGAAAGCCTCTTTTCCCCTCGATTTCAGGAGCATTTGAAAAACGCTGCACTTCAAACATCTTCAAACTCAAAACTCAGCTCCCGCACGTAGCAGATTGGGTTCGAGGAAGGTCAAACCACGACCCACGGGACAAGTGCAATGGGCTCCTGACACATTTGGTCGGCCACGTCATGGGAAGAAAATACATAAAAAGAAAAGATCTGGAAGCACCACTGGGAATGCAAAATTCTGAACGAAGCCGACGCTGACCATCGAAACCATACCAGGAGACTAAAATTCGCTCACGTTGCTATACGAAAAAGAAAGTTTGAGTGTGGAACCAGGGCGTTCAGTGCTTTCCAATCCCTGCCTGCGATAAATCGCTTGGGTGGTGTCTGACATTCCATCGCTCACAGGAATCATCTTTGAGACACCAAATTTCCGACCTTTGGTCTTTGGCAAAAATTCCCAACGGAAAATCATTGTCCCAGGATCATGGGACACATGGTGGTGCAAACGAAGCTGTTGCAGTAGATAGCATATTGACATACAGAGCGTGCGACTTCAAATTGATCGCTCTTGACTGTTGATAGTGCTACACACCGGACATCTGCTTCTCACTTGTTCTTGATGAAAAAAATGGCAATGAGAAACACAGAGGACTCAGCGGATCGAAACATATGGGGATCTCCATAAATTGAGGTACCCCAGCATGGATGGTTTATAATGGAAAATCGTATTAAAGTGGAAGATTTGCGGGTTACCCCCATTTTAGGAAACCTTGCCAAAAATGAATTCAAGATACTCCAGAATTGGTTTTACTCAGAAAAGAATGGTAGATGCAGTAGAAAACCATGGTCGAAATGGCCTTGAAATGGGGCTTTCTGTACTGACCATTAGCATATTCTGGTGCTGATTGCTCAAAGGGGTCCCACATTTGGTGCATTTTGGTGCAGGGCAGAAGCACAAATCATTTTCCATTTCAGCGCTCGCCCGGTACTTCAACCTGCTCCAGCATCGGGAGAATCCTGCAAAACGTAGCCCAATGACATCTGTGTGATCAAACGCGTCCACGCCAAAGTGAAGACGGCTATAGAAACATCTAGAATCTATATAGAATCTATATAGAAACATCTAGAAACTCTGGGTTGATGTTCAGAAGGTGTAGTTCACGTCGGAACTCACATAATGCTCAGGTCCCAGCTCAGAAAAGGGCGGCCTTTTGGCGGGTGTTCCCGCCTGACGGATCGAAAAACCAGCACCAGTTCCGACCTGGTTCCGACCTGGTTCCGACCTGCAATTTCACCCATATCACCCATCTAAATCCATCTAATGTGATCAATATGACCAAGATATGACCAAGATATTACCAATATGATGCAATTTGTTTGCCTTTCAGCACCAAATGCGAAATCACAAGAACTTGACAGGAGACTCTCATCACGTTGCCGAAAGGTGATTCAGTTTCCAACCAGACCATTCCAACCATTCCCTCATCGCATCATATCGCGTCATATCGCATCATATCGCATCCCCACCCAGCAAGTCTGCATGAGCTTCACCAGGATTTCGGGGCATTCTTCAGGAACCGATGCTAAATCTGGACCTGAAAACCAAGACTCCAAGACTCCAAGACTCCAACTCTTTTCAAGACTTGTTTCAAGACTTGTTTCAAGACTTGTTTCAAGACTTGTTTCAAGACTTGTTTCAAGACTTGTTTCAAGACTCATCTTTTTTTGCACCAGGAAACGAGACATGGGATGTGAATGTAATGAAAGTGAAGAAAAGAAGACGAAACAAAGGAAGGAATCAAGAGCAAGAAAGCAGGGAAAGATAGGGAAAGGAAGCATCGAGCAAAGAGGGCACAGCAAGAGCACAGCAGCACAGCAGCACAGCAAGAGCAAAGCGAGTAAACTGAGATAAACTGAGATAAACTGAGATAAACTGAGAACGTTAAAGCACTGAGAAAAGCCCGAAAACATCCGAAAACGTTCAGCACGTTTTTCGATGTGTCACACGTCACACGAGGCCCTGGCGGCAGCCTTTCACCGCCAAATGTCCAATCTCGGCCGGATTTTGGTCCTGGGCAGCCAATCTAGATATATCCAGAATATATCTAGAATATATCTAGGCATATCTGGACCATCTGAACCATATCTAGGTGTCAATATCCATGTTGATCCATTTTGATCCATTTTGATCCATTTTGATCCATTTTGAGCCATTTTGAGCCATTTTGATCCATTTTGATCCATTTTGATCCATTTTGATCCATTTTGATCCATTTTGCCAGTCCTCGAAGGGGATTTCTTGGCAAAGCACCCTGACAGTCTGACAGTCACGCTCATTGCAATGCAGTGCCACGCATAGATTGGCAAGACCTCACATGGCCGTAGTTGGGAGCCGCACTCAAAGAGGATCATGGCATAGGAGTACAAGTCCACCTGAGCATCTGAGTGTTCGTAGATGTTCGTAGATGTTCGTAGATGTTCGTAGATGTTCACAGTACTCCCCAGGAACGGTTTCCCGGTTCAGAGGTGTTGGGCTTAGGCTTAGGACGCCCCCATTATATCCCATTATGACATGCTCAGGCGAAGTAGACCCAGGCCACCTTTTCATCGTAGCTGTTGCTTACAAAGACCTCTGGGGCCATCCAGTGACAAGTACCTGCCGGGTCAAAGTAAGCAACATTCAAAGTCATTCGAAGTATCATTCGAAGTCATTCGACATGAAAGAAACTGTTCCTGCAAAGATCTCGTCGAAACATTGTGTGAAACATCGAAACATCGTGCGAAACATCCTGCGACTTCTGCATGGTTTCGCATGTCCGTTTCTTACATCGTTTCTTTCGAAAAATTGGAGCTCAGGATACCAGCAGCTCGGGTCATTTGTCCCCAGCTTGAGTCTGGAGCCTATCGACGAGGTATGCAGCTGTAGCAGAAAAGTATGGAAAAGTCGCGGAAAAGTAGCGGAAAAGTACCAAAGCGAAAGCGGAAATGATTTTGAACATGTTTTGAACATGTTGAACAAGTATCCAAAGCTGAAAGGCCAGCATCATGATGTGGAATGTGCCCCTGCGAAAGCATGTTATGACATATTATGGGTAAATTGATTGGATGTTACACCAGTACATGTCGCAGGAACATCACAAGCCGAAGGAATCGACGCGGCCATGTTCACAAGAAGGCGGCGACTCGAGACCCTGCCCCAATTATCCACATAGATCCCAATGATTCTCATGTCGTCTAATGTCCATATGTAAATATCTATAAATATCTATAACAATATCTATATATATAATTTCATATATATATATATCATATATATATATATCATATATATATATATCATATATCATATATATATATCCTATATATATATCCCAATGATCCCAATGTATGGAGCCATGCCCAACCTGCCACTTGACTCTCGCGAGGCCGAAGTCAGATACCTTTGCAGGACAACTGTTCGAAGATGTTCTATGGGAAATCGACAAGACATGGGATGAAGAGGATTTAGCAAAGACACAGGACATGCTGTGGTCATGCTACAAGCTCCTATTCACCTTATGGGCAGATTGGCAGAATGACTTTTGTAGCACTGACCCAGAGATAGATTTTCAGCAAATCCGAAGGCATTCAGCGATTTTCAATATCTAGGTGTATATATATATATCATTTACTGTATATTATATATATATGTTATATTTCATTCCACTCTGTCTGTGACCGTCTTGCAGTCGCCTGCATGCACCATGGGACACAAAAGCTCTTGGTGAGCGACCCATGTCTGTTGCTCTCAATTAACAGAGGCTTTTCGTTTCACCTTTTAGGTGACTAATATGTTATATATATATATATATATACACATTTGTATATGTGTGTCAGTTACATCATTTTTTTCCTTATATTCTTATCTATTCTTCTTTCACATCTCCTGTTCCGCCCTGTTCCGCCCTGTTCCGCCTTCGTGCATGGAATGTCTGCAGAAGTCTTCACGGGATTCACCAGCAGCAAGTTCAGTGATTTCAAATCCTGGCAACCGTGCTGGACACAGACAACGGACCCGGTAGCTGGACCCGGAAAACGAGATCTTCGAGACCCGGACCCGGTGGATGACCTGTGGGTTGAACCTGTGCCGAGATGTGCCGAGATAGATGTGCCGTTTGCCAAGCCGTTAGTAAACGTGTTTACGTCAATTAGTAAATGATGTAAAGGTTGTAAAATTAGTAAATTTCCGTTTCTGTGTAAAGTTGGCAATTTCCAGCTGCGATCAGTTTGAGTTGTTTCGATTCAACATACCCAAGTTCGTGGTCTAAGCATTAAGCCTCTCCTTGTATCTTGTTTCCTTGTATCTTGTTTGTCGCATTTCCCCTTTTTGATTCTTAATTGAATGAAATGTTCATCTCACACTCAGCTCGAGTTTGTCAAACATATCCTTGCTGAGTTTGTACAAGAATTCAATGTCAATATTACTTTCTTTGCCCTTACAGCTTTGCTCGTGAATTCATGTCTGAACATTCTGTACTTTGACACCGAAGAAGCAGCGTTGGCACAAACATTTCAAAAGCATCAAAAGTCGGTGCTGAGAAATTGGAATTTCAGGCCAAAAACGGATCAGTGGAATACTCTTGCATTTGAACATCATTGAACATCTTTGAACAAGATTTATGGACCAAAAGAGTGCATCTGGCTGACGCAGCTGATAGGATTCTTGCCACTCCGTAAACATTCTAAGCTACTGTAGATCAGCTATGATCAGCTTTAAGGCACACTGTCACCAAGAAACTGGTGAAGATAGTGCATGGCTTTTGCGACATCGATGCAGATCTGCAGCTTTTGCGGCCTAAGAAAAACTCGAATCGAAACCGGCACAAGCATCTCCCACTCTGAGCTGAAGGCCAGGTCAGTACCAACCTCGAAACGATAGAAACGATGAGATAAGAGGCGGGCGTTCGGAACGACTGTTCGGAACGATAGAAAAGAGCACAAAAATTTCACTTAAATGGTTTCACAAATGGTTTCATGATTGCATATGGCTTTACAATGCTTTACAATGCTTTACATTTTTTTCATTCACCGCTTGTAAGGGTTTACGTCCTTGCCGCGTCTTGCAGCTAATTGTCAAAAACATGCGCTAATTGAAGACCATCCAACTTCAACCGCCCTGATAATCAGGTAACCACTTTGAGTCAACTCTGATTTGGCCACAAAAGGCTTCCGCTTCAGTGACCCATTGTACAAGTTCAGGCGTTGGTGGAACTGTCTCTCTGCATCTACCACTACGATGCCTACTGTGCAATTCATCAATCAACGCTCCAGCGAGGGCCGCACAAAATTGTGAAGGGTATTCCTTCAAGGCGCTGGTTTTGAATTGGCCATCTTCCCCACGCCCTATTGCAACTTTCGTTGGACGAATTGCATCTGGAATCTGTCTACTATACATCGAGCGAGCAAACCGTGGTAAACGCACTGCTAAGAGTCCAGTGGGTTTGACGGTTTCACAGCCCCACTTCCATTGGCTCATGATGTGCAGTTCGACCTCCGGGTGTTGTCGGAGTAGCATCGTCCAGGGCGCAGTCCAGACACTTGCGATCTGCCCATCTTCAGGAGGAGCAGGGTGTTCACTGATGTAGAGACCTCCCGTACAAATCGTCCAGGCAATAGTAATGGTGGTTTGCAAATAGAAATGCGTTCCTTGGCTGAGTTGTCTAAGCTCACGCAGAGTAAGACCTGCCAAGCCGAAAATTCTCTCTGCACTTCGTAGAGGTCTTGGTCCTATAGGCCCTTCAGCCTGGTCCGCCTGCACAGGATCCAGGGGCCTATGTCGTGCTGCTGACCATGTTTCACAGGGGGCACCCGCGATGGTTGCTGCGATGCGCCCCTCTTTGTAAAGCAAAAGCAGCTGTGACCAAGTGGTAGACATGATATGTAGGTTACCAAACGTCTCAGAATTGGCAGTGTCCAGTGAAAGCACTAGAACTTGAATATTGGCCTTGGCTGCCCAGCGAATGAGATTCGCATGAACATCTTCGGTCCTCCGTCTGCCACTAAAGAGATGGGCAATCAAAAATATAGGTGTGGAGCTCGGCTGTGCCCAAATGGGGATTTTCTGCTCATTGGGCAAATCAAACCATGCAACTTCACGGAGCTGTCTGAAAAAAATCTGCTGCTCTTCAAACCGTGCAGGAACATGTGCCGCAGTAGTGGCTCGTTCAAAAATGTTGGCCGTACCTCTGCGAATGGACCTATGTGGGAAGTGTCCAGCAATTTCGTTTTCCAGACAATTCAGCTTGGCAAGCAAAAGGGTTCTTTTTTGCATCAGATCAAATCTGGGGAACAAAGCGACAAGCTCGCAAAAGGCATCGTCAACTAGACTTTCGGCACGTCCATCCAAAAAGTCCGCAATGACATCAGGCAAGTCATCTTGTCCCCACTGCATAAACTCAGCCTCAAACCATGCATCATAATGTCCTTCAGGATCCCCAAGCAGCAATATCCATCGATCAGGCAAGGATTCGGCCAGTCTCTCATCATAGCCCTCGTCACAGAAAAGCTGGAACCAATCCTTCGTAGTCTGGCTGAGGGCCTTCCTCAGTTCTTTGGATGCTGTATTAACCTCTGGCGGCAGCTCTGTAACCAGAAGGTCGGTTTGCACACGCTCAAGTTCATGTTGAAGCTGGGAGATCTGAACCCTCCTTCGATCTTCCATATGCATCAGGGGTCCTTGAGCCTGGATGGTCTCAACTCGCGCCAGGCCTTGGACTTCCACAGGTTTCTTCTGGAACTCTTGCCCATCTGGAAGGCCTTGGAAATCAATTTGTTTGAGCTGTTGAAAACATTGGTTAACCCCAGTACGCCGAGGAATATAGGCGAGGTGGAGGTAAAGCCTCTGTTTAGTCCAAAAGAATTTAAGGCAGGCTGGACAAGTGGCACCTGCAAGGAAGGCATGTTCCGGGGCAAATTCATTATGGATCAGCCGGCGGTGACATGACAAACCCTGCTGCGACGTGAAAACCTTGCCACATGAGCATGCAAACTCCTTCAGCGGTTGCTCCAATGAGGTGAATGGTGATGGGTTGAAAGAAGCACCATGATGCATGAGGATCTTGAAAAAGGTCTTGTGAAGGCCAAAGAGACTATTGGTCATACCCTCCTGGAAACGAAATCTTTTCCATGCTCTTTTGACCCTTAATCGCCAGGACCTATTCCCAGCCTGCCAGAAATCAAACACTGCGGTCAAATCCGACAGGTCACTCAGATCTGGGGCAGTGGTAGGCTCAAGGGCGTGCAACCAGGTCAAGTCACTTTTCAAACCTCCCATCCAGGAATCAGCTCTAAGCTCCTCCTCCTTATGCAAAAAGTGCTGTAGAAGGGGCGGTCCATGTTCCCAAACCTTCTGAGCATACAGCAATCTATCCAATGCCACCCTGGCTCTCGGGCAGCAGTGTCCAGCCCGATGGAAAACGTCTGCAGCTGTCAGGGTCTCATGTTCCTCTCTACTAAGCCTCAGAACCCTCTTCAACATGAATAGGAGGGCCGCTTGTAGTTTAGCATTCTGTCGAACAGTGAGAGGTGCCCACGCTCCCAAGCCAAAATACAGTTTGGATTCTACCAAGGATCGAAAGAGTTGCAAACGCGTCTTGACTGGTAGATGTCTGTTACAAAGGATCGGAGCTGCAATTTGGGCAAAAGCACTGCGAGCAAGCCCAATTCTGGTCGCAATCTCAAGATCCAAGCTATGTGAGGAGCTGAACATGGTCCCTAAATGTTTGTAGTGCGCAACAAAATGGATGAAAACTTCATTGGATCCCAACTCAATGGTCATGCCAGGCCTGTCGTTCAGTTGGTATTGGCGTCTGAGGTCAGCAGCCCCTGGACCCTTAAAGGTGGCGACCACACTCGTCTTACCTTTATTCAATTTAAGCAAGAAACCTCGACGCCTGAAAACCATGTGAACATGAGCAAGAGCGGCTTCAATAATGGTAGGGATTTGGGAAGCATGTCTTGTTGCCAGCGGAAGTGCCAAATCATCCGCCCACACGATGCATTCCACATCCAAATCTGCTTCTTGCAAAATACTTTGGAAGTCCTCTTGTTCAGTGAACCAAAGATTGATGTCCTTTGTGATGTCTGCCATGAGAATATGGAAAATGCAGTCTGCCAACGGTGACCCTGGCCGAGTGCCTCTCCTTGTCACCAGGAATCTTTCATCCCCTGGTGCCTTCAACCAAGTATCTGTATGCAAGTCTTGCAGCAGCTGTATCAAAAAGGGTGGTGCATTGAGCTGTTGGAGCAAACAAGGCAGCTCAAGCAATTCGGCTACTTCATGTGCAGGCAGCCCTTCAGCTTGCAAGGCTTGTAAGATCTCCTCTGCTTCTCGAGGCAAATGGACACCTGAAACCAGCTCTCTGATCAATCGATGGAATGCATTAGTGAGATCCACAAAGACAATCGCCGATGAGAGACCCTTGGCATCCATAATGCGACCAAACACCTGAAGGAGCTGGGATCCAAACGGAACCTGCATATGCGCGAAACCGCCAATTTGGCATTGCGGCCTTTGCCCATGCAGCCGAACCATGAGCCTTTTCCTAATAAGAGCATGGAATCGCTTGGCAATGGTCGGCAATAACATGATGCCACGATAATTCTCAGCCAAAAAGGTGGATCCCCTTTTGTGGATCACAGCCATCTGACCTCCCTTGGAGGTAAGCGGTTCGCTTTGCCATAGGCACTGTTTCAGCATGAGTGGAAAATAGATCATAGCAAGATCAACCACATTGGCACGGAAAAGCCCTGATGGCAGGGGGTCAAACCCAGTCGATCGGTCAGGACTAGTAATTCGAATAGCATCTTCCAGTTCAATGAGGGATGGCAAGTCACTTATCTGAAAGTCACGCTGCACAATTGGCATCTGGATTTGCCGCAAATGGCAGTGATCGACAATTTCACTAGCTGCCTTAGTGGAACCCACCTCAAGTTGACTGAAATACGGGACCCACTGGTCTCGAAGGGCATCAAGCGTGTTGGGGTCTTGTCCTAGTCTCCTAGTGCGGAATTTGGGCAAGTGCCTACGGAGAACTTTCCAGAAATCTTTCACTTGGTGGGGTGCTAAGAAATCTGATGCATCTGCCGCAAGAAGAGCAAAAAACCTCTTATCATCATTGCGGATGGCTCTAGTAACATCCCGACCAAATCGCCGGAAATGACAGAGCGCCGTCGCAATCGCAAAATCTTGTTGGCTGATCAATTCATCAAAACCAGCAACATGAGGAATTGCATCTTGATTCCACTTGCTAAAGCGCCATGCAGCGAAGAAGGCTGCTTGCAAAGAGTGATCTCGGAGTTTCTGATGTTCGTGCAGTGCATTCCTCCATCTTTTCTTGGCACAAATCAATTCCCATGTTGGTTGTGACAATGTTTCCTTCTTCGGTTTGGAGGGTGCACGACGACGACCATTCCTACAATCCAAAATCTGTTCTTGGATACTAATCGCACTGGTGTGGACATCAACTGTGAAATCATGATGAGCATGCCACGCACATTCAGCAATTCGTGCTGGGCAAAATTCATGGATCAACGGTTTGCCTTTCCGGTATCTCATTTTGCGCTCTTGGTGGTTGGAATTGAGATAAACACTCCATGCCGCCTCAACACAAACAGTTCGGTGATCTTCTTTCTGGAGCGAAAAATCAATTTCCTCAGGTATCCAAGAGATGCAGTTAGTCAGGGCCCAGGAACGAGGCAAACCAATATAATCATTGCGTTTCCATTTGCCGGATTGATGCTGCCAAGTCCCACCCACACCCTGATGGTACTGTTCAAAGGTAGAGGGAAGGAAAACATCAGACCGCACAACAAAATGGGCAAATGGTTCACTTTTTTCATGCATTCCTTCCGCTTGCCAATCTCCAATATGTTCACAAGGTTGACTACCTAATCTGCAGTTGGCATCGGCAAGCAAAACTCGTGGCCAATCGGACAAAGTCTGTGGGAGAGCAGAATCCACATGCTTCCAATATTCCTCAATCTCATGAGTGGCTGCTCCAGTGTGCGGGGCATGTGCTGCAATGACAAGACGTCGGAACCCGGGATGTTGAATTTTCACTGCAAGCAACCTAGGTTCTGCGACCACAATTGACAAATCTTGTTCCCCAAGCAGCAGCTTGACTGGCTCACCCGCACTGGATTCCAGGCATGTTTGAAGGGCAAAGGGAAGGCGTTTCGAGAAACCGATCATAATGCCAAACTGGCCGGCAGCGGTTGCAGCGCTTTTGACAAGAATATACCTGTCATCAACTTGCTTCCGGACTGTACGGATTCTGGTTTCTTGGAGGGCAAAAACATGTACGCCCAACTCATCGAGGCTTTTCAAAATCCATTCCAGTCTCGAGGGTCCCTCTGCTCCCAGATCTGGGGCTTTATTGGTTGGTCCACTACGCAAGGTGAGGATATTGCAGGTAGCCAGTCTGAGTTGGAAGTCAATCTTGACTGCCCGGAGAGGAGCATCATCAACATAACTGGTGGGCAGGACTGTCAAATCAGGTTGTGTAGTGGGTCGCGCAGGGCAAACCCAGTCAGTACCCTCAAAATGTGTTCCGTCCCACCTGTGAAAAAACATCCAACTCCATTCTAGCGCTTGCACAAAGTCTGCTCGTTGCGTGAATTTGGTAAAATGTTGCCAGTCTTGCAGAGGAGAGCCTTGCGCTGCGCATCCTGCCAGGACATCCACAAGTTCATTACCTGGCTCTCCCTTGTGCCCAGGGCTGAAGACATGCTCACACTCAACTTGAAATCTGGACGTACACAACCGCAAAATACTGCGAGCAAGATGGCATGCATGTATAGCCCGAGTGGATTTCCAAAGTCCTGCAGTCTGTTTACCTACAGACATGGAATCAAAAACCATTGTGCAGTAAGGTCGTGCTCCAAAACAATCATGCTGGATTTTGAGAAGGTCGTATAGGAATTTGAGTCCAAGAAGTGCAGCATTCAATTCAGCTTTGTATGAAGCAAGATCTGCTGCCTCTTCATCCTGACCTGAAACTGCACCAGCAAAATGCCATTGGCCGCAGCAATGAACAAAGGCTGCCGCTGCATATCCAATGGCTCCAGTGGTTTTGACAAACGAGCCATCATAGTAGACTCGTATCTCATCAACCTGCTGTTCAGAAGCAAACCATTCACTAGCATAAATCCACTCAAGGGATAGTGGGTGCCAATGGGCTTTGCCCGCAAGCTGTGTTTGGATGTCAAAGCACGGGAGTACAAAATGTTGATCAAACCAAAGCAGTGCTTCAGCAGCATGCTGCAAATCCAGTCGTAAGTTTCCATAAGGACAGAAAATAGGAGCTGCCGCATTGAGCGGCACATCTGGATCAGCAGAAGTCGTGACTGCAGCTTTCTGAAGCAAGAATTGAGCATCACCTTCAATCGGGTCATCTTGATCCCAAGCAACCAGATAAGGTCTGTGGACTATGACATTGAACCCATAACCATGCTCGATTAACAAAGGCTGATGAAGGAGTTCCTGACCTCCATACCAAACACTGCAGTGCGCTCGCGGATCATGACTCGGGCTTCCAAATGCCAAATCTGTATGTCGGAAAAGAACATCCCGATCAATAACTGCAGGCACAACTGCCGCTACTGAAACTGGGGCTCCTTGGTAGAGCGCATTGTCATATCTGGTGATGACGACTCCTCTGCAATCATCAGGGATTTGTTGCATTGCCAAAACATGGATCCTGTCAAGCGGACTAGGTGGCGGCACAGGATGCACAAATGCAAAAATGAAAGGTGCATCAGCATCTATAAGATCTGTCCAGATGTTTCGGATGTCTTCCTCCCAACAGCTAAAATCGTCAGCTAAAGTGACCGATCTTGATTCTTCATGAAATGGTAACGCCCTACCATCCACATACCAAGTAGTGATTTCAAGAGTTCTTTCAAAAGAGGCATGGGCTTGTCGTGCACATTGCAACCAACGCCTATAGAGGTCTTGGAAGAAGGGGGAATAATCCTCAATACAAAAGGACAACTCCGGTACCTCCGGGGAAACACTTGCAGGGAAGATCTGGGCAACGCCTCTTGGGTTCCAATGCAATTCGTCATTAGAACGCTCCCCAGGAGCTGGGATGATAAGTTTGAGGCCTTCTCCCACAAGGAGGTCTCGCCCCCATGCTCCGGCTTCGCCATGAGCTCCTCTATGCAACGTACAACGACGTCCTCTGCACACACGATCAAGCTTAACAATTTCCACGACATGATCCGGTGAGGCATCCTTTTGGACTACAACAGCCGCATTGCTTGTTCCGTCACGCAATGCCGTGAATTGGAAGCTGATGAGGATAGGGACGAAAATCTCATTCGGCTGCTGGAAGAGAATCATATGACCCATAGTGTGCTCATACGGGTTCGCTGGTGGCGTGGGGTAAACCCATGCAGCATGCACTGGCAGATTCGGATTGATTTTGTCCCTCCATCTCCTCTGGATGGAGTGAATCCAATCTGGGGGGAACCCGCTGAGTCGAACAACCCGTGAGTCTTCACTGGCAATCTCCGCAGTACAATCCAGGTACCAGGTGCGAACATATGCGATGGGCCCTTCCTCAATATCCTCAATGTAATGTGAGTTCCTGAAGTTGTGCAAGAGAAATCTGAACCAAAGTGGCAACCTAGACCCTGGTGGTGAAATCAGGAGGTTCACCATACAAGTATCATTTGCCGGAGGAGGTGGCGACTGTTCTGAATGAGCAGCAGCTGCATCACTATTGGAAGATAAAGACAGCTGCATGACACTCAATTCATCTGCAGAATCATCATCGCGTGCTCCAAACTCCTCCCGGATAGCATCTGAACCAAGTAGGCTAGGCGAGACATCTGAAGCAACCTCACTGCTACTACTACTATCAGGGCTGGAAGGAATGAAATACCTACTCCAAAAATCCTCAACAGTGAGTTGTCTGCTATCGGCCAGCATTTCTCCAGTCGAGGCATCACATTTCAATGAAGGAGGAAGCATGATTTTGGCATAATCTCCAAAAAGAACACGTTTGGGAGCCGGATCTTGCTTGTGCCACTTCCGATGATTGTACTCAATGAGACATCTTTCCTTTTCAAACCTGCAATATTCAAAAACTCTGGCTTGTGTGAGCAGGGCCGTTCTAGTTAGGAGAGCCGGTACTGCCACAACCCGCCTCTCTACGATGGGTGCAGTACCATAGTGCGCTTCCATCCATTGTCCATGTGTCTCAACATCAATCAAGATCAAAACATATGCCGTGCCAACTGGGACATCTTGGACCTGTTGGACGATAATCGGAACAATACCTTGAGGGATGTCAGGAAGTCGGACATTTAACTCATGACATTCAAGTACCTGTTCTCGATCAACAGCATAATGATATGCAATTTCACGAATCATACGTGGCCAGTCGGTCCAATCAAGCATAGCATGGATGGGGTCATCAAACAGATGAAACATGATAACTGCCTGTCGTGCATCATCATCATCAGGAGGATGAATAAAAGGATCCTCACTTCGGGGAGATTCGTCCCCAATGTCTTCTGCCTGGTGTTCATTGGGTTCATCATCCTGGAGTAATTGATTACGCAATTCGGCGTGTCCTCCTTGAGCATTGACATAGGGGTACCACGCTGGGGCCTCTTGGTCATTCAAGGTCAATGGTCTCTTGGACCTGGTAACCTGGCCTTGCATAAACATGATATGATCCGACGAACCTTGTGCGACACGGACAGATGGTGGAATGAGGTGTCCAATATTCAGCTGGAATCCATGACCGTCATGCATTTCATGCGTGGGCAGATTGTCAAGCTGCAGTTCATCCCATCGAAACGTAAGGTGGCAAGCAGACGTTGCACAAACCTCTGTTAAATCCGCAGACTCTACAATCTGAAGGCCCGAAACCTGCTCAGGAAGTGTGATAGCAACTGCAAAAGTCCTATGTTGGTCAAACCTAGACTGAGTTACCGTCAAAAATCCTGCATGGAGACCTGGTTCTGTCTCTTGTGCCAGAATGATGTCAACATCAGCCCTACGACGTAGATACTGTCTGTATGGATCAGGCTGGACCACAGTCAAGTGGAAAGGAATTCTTCTATCAATCATGTCTCGCCAGGCATTAGAAATTTCATGACTCCACCTAGACCAATCATGGTCGAGCTCAACAAAACGAGGCACTCTCCACCTCGGAAATGCCTGGTGGTGAAGATACCAAGTTCTTGCAGTGAAACCTTCCATCAAATTGGCCCCTGCCTGAAATCCTAAGGCTTCAAATTGCACGAAAATGTCTTGGACGAAATTCGGCACAGGTGGAGTTTCACCAGGTCCATGATGCGTTTGCTGTGGTACATCAGGGTGCCACGACGGACGTGAATGTTCATTTTCATGGTCTGTAATTCTATCTTGCGGACCGGAGATCAACACGGCCTCATTGGACAGCGGATCAGCATCGGCCGCAAATGTAACCTTTTTTGGAACATTGCTTTTCGTAGTCTTCAAAATGGATCCCCAGATGGGCCACTTAGGGAGTGGATCTCGATGGGGCGGCAGAGAACCGTCCAACAGCAGATTGTTTGAAACTTCGTATTGCAAATCAATTGCACGCTTGGTAGAGACAAAAGATGGCATGAAACGTTCCTCCCATCTAATGCTATGGCAAAGAATCAAACACATGGTGGGATGGTCTAAAGCTGGTACATTGCTTGCTGCACACCATGCTTCATCCATGGCATAGGCCTCAACAATGGACCCGTCTCTCCAACCACTAGCACATGGCGCATGAAGTGAATTCCGCAGACACTCAGCTTCATCGCCCCTGTTCACATGGAGGCTTCTGTCGCTCCAACTGTGGGCACTACAGGCATAGCTTGATGCCCAAATGGCTCCAATGATCGCTGTCTTTTGGACTTGGGTGCTCCATCCACTCCCTCGTCGTCTGAATCCATAATGTCTTGCACATCGCTGGGATTGACTATGGCTGCTGCTTGCTTCAAGCAATCCTGAACTTGTCTGGTCAGGGCCGCTTCCGTGGCGTCCAGTTCGCCAACTCCCTCCTCCAGCTCTTGGGTCTCTGGAGTTTCGGCTTTGGCATTGGACTGCAATCCCGCGAGCTTGTTGAGCGTCTGCAAATTCCTGCGTGCTGCAGACAATTCCGCCTTTGCTTTGTTGGTTTGCTCTATATATTGTTTCTGCTGTTCTTGAAAGCTTTTCATCTGACTTTCCCAAGCTGTAATGGAATCTTTGAGGTGACGAAGCCATTGTTCCCTGTGCCTGCTTCGTGCTTCCCTCAGCTGATTCAATTGCTTGGTGGCCTTGTTGATCTGCGATGATGTGCGGTGCAGGTCTGCTCCAATCCGTTGTGAATTTGAAGCTTCCTCTTTTTCCACTGCTTCTCTCACCTCGATCGGGGCTTGCGTCATGTCCGGAAACTGCTTTCTCACAGCTATCAATAGGTCGCTTGCAGGTGTTTGGAAGGGACCCGTGGCCGAGCTTCCCAAAGAGGCTGTGCTGGCTTGAGCTCTGATCGCCGTCTGGCCTCCTGCAAAACCAGTGTCTGGCGAAGGCCATGGAGGGATGGCCATGGGGGTCGCAAACGGCGAAGTTTGCTGCTGTTCTTGCCCACCAGCCGCTCCCTTCCCTTTTCCCTTCTTTGAACGCAGGCTTTTGCTGCGTGAGGGTCTCTGCTTTTGTCGGCCCACTGCGGGCGATTCCCATTGATTCCATTGAGAACCCTCTTCTTCTGCATACCAGGCATAGGCAGGTTGGGTACTGTGTCTCGTACCTGCTGTCCAGTGTCTCTTGCACTGTGGACAGTGCACATGCGTTTTCTTGTTGAGCCTGTTGCATGGGCAACGCCATGGATAGGCATCCTCTGCATGATACTGAGCCATTGCACCAGAAATCTTGTGTAAAAAATTTCTGTCTCTGGAGTGATGTACTGTCAATGTCCTCTTGATCCAGCGGAGGTGATCTTTGGTCAGAAGAAGGTTCTTCTTGGTAAAATTGTGCCACAAGGCCCTGGCGACTGCTCTGTGCCTTCGCAGTCTCCTCCTCGTTGTGGCCGTAGACGTAATAGTTGATAAATGCAATTGCAAGCGAATAAATGATATAAAATCCAATTATTCGATGCATCCACCCGTTGCAGAAAGAGGAAAATCAATGCCAGAGAAAAATCAATCCAGCACACAATCCCAGTCCCACAAAATTGCAAATTGAAATATCAAATCCCGATGGATACCAGGGCCAACCAGTTGAGTATCCAAGGGAAAAATGAATCCAATGTAAAGAAATTCCGGTGTAGGTCACCGCAGAACCAGAAAACAGTGTAGGCCACTGCAGAGCCAGGGAGAAATAACAAGAAATGTAGACCTGGGAAAATCACCAGCAAACAGACTTGTAAATCAATCCCACCAAATATAGAAAGGCCTTGCCCGCGAATAAGAAAAGTTGAGCAGCTGGGAAAATCACCAGATGCAAATCACCAATCCAAATCACAGCAGCAAGTGAGAACCAGGGTTTCCAGGATAACCCTTAACCTTAAGGCCAGTACAGAGAGACTAAGTCTCAGCAGTGATGTCCCGCGGGTTCCAGAGAACCCGCTAAGGCTATGGCGCAAGACCCCCAGGGAAATACGACAAAATCGGGGGGAATTTGAGCCAGCGCCTTACAATGCTTTACATAGACAAGGAAAACTTCGAGAAAAACTTACAAGATCCCAAAACGAAGATTGTTGCAAGATGAGTGTCATTACTCTTGCGTCTTGGCGTCCTTTACCTCTGGGTGATAGAGTGAAAGAATGTGAACTGCAAATCAAAAAGACTTGGAGCAAGACTCTTGGTTATGCAACAAGGAGAAAACGCAACCTCCTGCGCAGTACCTCGAAATGCTCAGCGCAACGGGCAAGCAGTTCAGCCAGTTCAACCAGTTCAACCAGTTCAGCCAGTTCAACCAGTTGTCGACCACATTTGGTGACCATATTTGTTTTCATCGGTTTTCTCTCACCATCGAAAAATTTCTCACGACTTCCGAGACTTCCGAGGCAGCGGCTCAGTGATAATGCGAAAGGGCCTGAACAGATTGAAAAGGATCCAGACGGATCAAGAAAAGGATCAAGTCCCAGCGAAAAGTCCCAGCGAAAAGGCTTGTTGCGAAAAGGCTTGTTGCGAAGGCTTAGCGAAGGCTTAGCGAAATGGTGAAAAGACATCTTGCATGTCTTGAAAAATTTTAAACGTTGCAAAAGGTTGGAAGAGACTCCAGGAGAATCTGTAGAGATTGCAATCGAAAGCTTTGCCAGGTCGACTGGGACCTTTCGTTGCCTTGACGAGCCAAAAAAAATGTTTTCGTGGACTGCTTCTGCGTATTGTTAGCGCCATTGAAACTTAAAATGAATTAAACCATCATATTAAACCAGATTAAACAATAGTAGACCATATTAAACAATATTAAACAATATTAAACCATGTCAAACTATATTAAAACATATTAAGCAATATTAAACCATATGAATCCATGACAAGTTTAAACTATAGTCAAACCACTTTAGACCATATTAGACCATGTTGAACAAAATTAAACCATATTAGACCATGTTGAACCATATTAAACCTTTGGTTTCATGAAATTCATGACAGATGAGGCATCTCAGCCTCTGGACAGATGAAATGCCAAGAAAGCGCACCAAGTTCTCATGATCAGTCCTGCCATATCCAAGGTTGGAAAACATGCTGTTGAAAGTTTGAGATCGCAAAATCTTTGAATGAAACACGGCGATTCGGGATCATTCGGGATACAAAGCAATGAAACATGGCCAACTTTTGCCGCAGTCTCCTCATGAGAACCGCTACTTCACGCTCAAACGCGCGTAAATCCTGGCTCAGTGACAGGTTTCGAATCGAAAGGTAAAGGTGAAAATGACACAGAAAAACAAGACAAACCGCTAACCGCTAACCTATGGTTTTCAAGACTTGCCTTATACAGTTTTCCCCGATAGAATCCAAATTCCTGCAGGATGCCTTGCTATGCAAAGCCTGCAAAGCCAGCAAAGCCAGCAAAGCTTTAAATTTTGACCTCTATTGACCTCTATTGCTTGCGTGGCTCAGGTGGGCGAAATGTGGAAACCAGGCCGGATGAAAAAGGCAAGTCGGATGGTCAGGCGTCAGGCGTCAGGCCATGTCAGGCCATGTCCTTCTCTGAAGATGTGGACTTGTCCATGTCATTGATTTGCTTCACCGCAACCTGAACACATCTGAACAGAAACTGCAAGGAACTCTTCCAAATGTTCAGAAACACAAACTGGAAAATCAATCATTTTTTCATATGTTTTCCATTCATTTTTTTATTAACCAACCATTATGAACCACACTTCTGATCCGCCGATCCGAGACTTTCTGATCCGAGCCTGGTATTGCCCATCCAGGATGGCCCGGTAAACGTGAGCAGTGACCTTAACAGCGGGACAGAGATGAGCATCGACGTTGATCGACATGACCAAACAACATCAAACACCCATGTGTTTTTCATATTTTTTCATCATGTATTTTTAAATGTGTTCTTAATGTGTCTGATTTGGTTGATTCCCTGTTCCTACCGTCTCCAGTATTCGAAATTGACATTGCATTGTTTCATAAGGCAAGCACACCTTGCCCCACAGAGTCTTGAAGAACGATCCGGTCGAATGCAATCTGTCGGACAACAACATCACAACATCATGGTGACATATGGTGACATCCGGCAAGTTCGTTGCAAAACAAACAATTGGAAAAAAAATGCAATTCATTGACAAATTCTAAATTGGTTTCGGATTTGAGAGAGCAAATGAAAAATCTGCACAGCAACGTGAGAATTGCATCCAGTCATTAGTATTGATCTACAAGACCCAACAAGAATGTACGGGCCGATATATTTGAAAAACATCGAAACCTCGTTTTTTGATATGTTTCGTTCCGCCAATAGTTTCACAAAATTATGGTTTGTGATATGTTTTCGTGCAGTGTCACAAATTCTCTTGCAAAGGCAACTTTTGCAATACACGAAACAGGATGAAGAGTTGTTCATGTTTTCACGTGTTTTCATTGTGCCGTTCACTTCGAACAAACGATTAATCAAGTTTAAGAAATTAATAATTTCATTTTTGGCCACGGCCCCAAGAATATCAAAATCCCTTGATCACAGAACAATTGTACATCCGATGTTCCATTTGCTGACAAACGAAAGCAAATTCATGTTAGCATGCAGGCTCTTAATTAAAAAATCCCTCAATGAAACCCCGTCTGATCAAAATTTATCGCTGGTCGAAATTTTCATGATTCATAATACCGCCATCCAACTGAAAAAACGTCAACTGTTGATCGAACTGTCCATTTGAAAACCCGTCCAACCTCCCAAAAAGATGGACAATCTTCTTGCAAGTCAACTCCGACACGCGGAGGAACTGTGACCATTGGAATTACCTGCAGTACAAACAATTCTCAAACGATTCTCAAAAAAACCCATGCAATTGTTGATAAATGATACGCACACTGACGCAAACTGAGCCCACGACACAAAATTCGATACGTGGACGTTAACATGAGGATGCGATGTTTTTCGGAACCATGAACAAAATCCGGTGCAATTATGTTTATTGTTGTTGTTTTGCACCGGTATGGGTGCAAAAATTTGTCCATCAATCAAAACATGGGGAAACATTTTTTTGAAATAAATGGATTGTGCAAATATTGTTTCTGCTGATTGGCAAATCTTGAAACCGTGAAGCCAAGAGCAGTGCACACTCGATTTGATAAAACGCGTTCAAAACACATGCAAAATACATTCAAATTACACTGACTCAATCACGGCCAATGATGGGCAAATAGATTTAAAAATTGTATGCAAACGCATGTCGGTTTGAAAGTCTTCGAACACACATGCCAATCTGCAAATTCGGCCTCCAACTGCTACAAAAACATCACGTTTTGACCAAAAAATTTGACAATCGGAAACATGTTTCAACAACAAACGCGACACAAAACAAATCGGTCAAATATACGAACATCATGGAAAAACAGAAGGCGTGCGCGGCAGAACTGAAGCGATGCTGTTTTAAATCAACAAACAGGCGTCGAAGAAGCAAATGAGCAGAACAACCGGGTTCATGGCCAATAATCTTACCAAATTGCACATTTTGAAATAAGTTTCGGTGGTATCCCCAACAGCCGCAGATTTCATTTTTACAATTTTTTCTGAAGCGTGCTGCGAAACTAAGCGCTGGAAACCCTGTTGAACCTGTTGCACCTCACCTGGCCCTGTGCCAAAGATTCCCAAAACCTTCTCCGGGGCCTTTTCTGCAACCTTCTCCGGAACCCGGTGAACCTGACCACCAAGGCTTCCTGGAACCTTCTCCGGAATCCCCGACCTTCTCCGGAACCTTCTCCCTGGCTCTGCACCAAAGCCTCCCGGAACCTTCTCCGGAACCTTCTCCAGAACCTAACCGGGCTCTGCACCGAAGCCTCCCACACCTTCTCCGGAACGTTCTCCGGAACCCTCATTGAACCTGACCTGGCTCTGCACCAAAGCCTCCCGGTACCCTCTTCGGAACCCTGTTGAACCTGACCCGGACCTTCTCCTGGCAAACTGCAAAGGGTAAAACCTAGGAATTAGGTAGCTATAGATAGCTAGGCAGTTCACTAGGTAGAGACGGCATGGCATGACAACAGTTCATGACCACAGCCCCTTTTTGCACAACCGTGCACTCAAGCAGGAAAAGGTGCCACTGTGCTGTGGCAGCTGTCCAACTAGCGGGGTAAGTAAGTAGAGCCCAATACGCTGACCACTACCATCTCGGCTTTTGCATGGTAGCGGAGCTGCGTGGGTAGCCCCACCGCTCCAGGTCAAAGAGCGGGCAGCTCCGCCGGCCAAGGCCGCGGGCAGCCCCGCCCAAACTGAGGACAAGCCTACGTGGCCAAGGCTGCGTAGGAGAGTCCACACAAAACGGCTTCTCGGGATAACACCTGGGAATCCTGGAATAGGTCGACCCCTTGGGACGACCGTGACTGGCAAGCTCAGGACTGGGCAAGCCGTGGCTGGGTGGACTACTCCCAGCAAGAACCCAGAGCTCCTGCAACAAGGGACGCTGGGACAACCACTGACAACAGTTGGTGGGGACGAAGCCGACCAGACACGAATCGATCTCGAAGCAGTCGATTCGCCCAGGAAAGGAATCGGCGAGGACATCGCTCAGTGGCCAGGACAGAGGCCAGGATCCAACGGGGTCAAGAGCGAAGAGCCGCACGTGAGGCGGCAGACGCAGCAGCAACAACAGCAGGGTCAGGCCAGTCCACGGACGCGCCACCTGCTGAGCCAACACCGGCCGACCCATCGGCCGATCCACCAGCCGATCCTTCGGCTGAGCCAGACCCACCGTCACCAGAGCCGGAGTCAGTGCCTTCTTCGGCGCTGGACATCGGGTCAACACCCGACGCACCCGACGTGCCTCAGACTAACCTAAGGGTGGAAGAGGCCAAGAGGGAAGTGCGGGTAGATCCGCCTCCGGGACGCGCTGCACTCGAAGCAGACGAGCGCGCACCGGTGAAGTTGGTCCCACAAGCTGATAGGGCCAGCTCAAGGGCTGCAAGGAAAAGAGCCCGACTTCAGAAGAACTTGGACGAAGCCAAGCAGGCGATTGATTCGTCTGAAGCCCCAAGCCTCTCAATAGAAATCCTGCAAGACGCAGGCATAGAAGTGGTTGACTGGGAAGCTGACATCTCAAGTGAAGAGAGCTTTGAGATTTGCGTTCCAGACCCTGTGTTTCAGGGCAAGGGTCCAGCTGACATCCCACAGCCACACGTGGAGTCAGCAAGCAGCTCCAAGGAGCCGCTGCAGAAGTTGGCCGCACCTCCGCTGTACGCAGCGGAAGTCCCCGCGCGTGCGAGCCAGCTCACTCCAACAGTCAAGCAAGAGTTCAACAAAGCTCTTGACTTGCGTGAACAAATACAAGGGGCTTTGAGCCAAAGCCAGACTGAACACTACGAGGTGGTAGACGAGAGACCACCAAACTGCAGAGAAGAAGATGGAGCAGCAAGCCGCGCAGATCCAACTGCAGATGGAGGCTCTAGCGAGTCAGGTTCAGGCCTTGACTACCGCTCAGCAGACCCAACAACAGGTGAATGCGCAGCTGCAGCTCGAGAAAGAGCAGCTGGAACAACGCCTCAACGTCGCGTTGGGACAATTGCAGCTATCCTTGCAGAACGGAGGCGCAGCAGGCGCAGTTCCCCAGCCCAGCGCGGGGAGCTCCGCCGGCACCAGTAGACCCGTCAGTCATATAGACGTGCTCAAGTCTGTGAAACAGCCTCAGTCCTTAAAGGACAGGGAGCAGTGGGAACGCTTCACCTTTCAGGTGGAAACCTATCGGGCACTGATCAACGAAGAGTTCCCCACAGACTTGGAAGAAGCACGCAAAAGTACCACGTTTGTGGACCCTGTAGATATGACTGATGACTGCAAGGCACGTGGCAGACAGCTTTTTGCCATGCTGACTTCCTGGACCCAGGAGTTAGCAGTAGCTGTGAAGATAGCCCGTGGAATTCGAGAACAGAACGGTTTTGAGTTTTGGAGGCTTCTGTACCGAGAGTTGGCCCCAGATAACCACTCGAAGAGTTTAATCTGGAGACGCTCGCTGCTTAGCCCGAAGTTTCCGTCAAAGGCGACTGAGTTTTCTGCGGCGCTCCAAGAGTGGGAGGCCGACTTAGACAGGTATGAAGCCGAATACGGCGCACAGAAAGCAATAAGTGATGAAGACAAACGTGCCGTAGTTCTGACCGAAGCTCCAAATGCCCTGAAACAGCACCTTTCCATGCACATAGCCACGCTGAGTACCTACCAAGCTGTGCGCGAAGTGGTGGTGTCATACTTGCAAGCCAAGCAGGTGTGGAAGTCATTGGCCGCGTATGCGGGTAGCACCGCACGCAGTGATCCCATGGAGATTGGACTCGTCCAACACAAGGGAAAAGGTAAGGACAAAGGTGGCAAAGGAAAGGATGGCAAGAAGGGCAAAGGAAAGGATCAGAAAGGAAAAGGAAAAGACAACCACTCGAAAGACAAGGGTGGAAAAGGTCAAGACAGCAAAGATCGCTGTGCAATCTGCTGGAAGGCCGGCCATACCACTGAGAAGTGTTGGTTCAACACAAAAGGTCAGGAAAAAGGAAAGGGTAAGAAGGCAGTAGCAGCCGTGAATGAAGGTGACAACGCCTCCATTGTCTCGGCTGGTCCCTCGGCATCGCAGGTTGGGGGCAACAACAGCGTCATCACCCTTCCTTCCTCGTCTTCGACGTCGTACAGAAAAGACAAGAACGTCAGTAAGATCGGGGAACACCGACTTCTCATGGTAAAGCCCGGCCACAGCGGGCAGCACCGCGTGGAATCAGTTTCACCTCAAGCCATTTTGGCAACCCAAACGGCTGGCAGCACAGTAGTCAGCCAACACCAGCAAAATGCCATTTTGGCAGAACAGGCCATTTTGGCCAAGTGGCAGGCCATTTCGGACTGCAAAGACAAACCAGGCTGGCATGACCTTGACACGGACACCAAGGTGTACGTGGTACGGGGGAAAGCTGGCACCCAAAGGAGGTATGTCACACCCGGGCCTCAATACTCAGATTTCACTCTGAGGTCCACCTGGCAATGGAACTATGCCGCCGATGCATGGGAAACCAGGGAGCTTGGAAAGAAATGGAAGCTTCTTCAAAACCCACATAAAGCATTTGCGGGAAGCAAAATATGGGCATTGCATGCTTTCCAGAGAAGCACGCCCAAGATAGCCAGGGTAGCGAGCAGAGGCACGCTATTGGTGGACACTGGAGCATGCTGTTCGGTCTGCACCCCTGAGGCCTTTCAGACAGCAGACCTCGACCCAAGCGCCACAGAGGAGCTCTACACAGTAGATGACACACCGCTGAAGGCGTGCGGGGAGATCCGCCCCAAGTTGCGACTCGGAGAGCAGCTTCAGGAAGAGGCACAGGTCACCTTTCAGGTGGTCGAAGGTGTGAATGAGAACATCCTGTCAGTCAATCGAGCCCTGGACGTTGGAGCCAGCGTCCACTTCGAAACTGACAACTGCTACATCCAATGGGCAGATGGCAGCATCGCCACGTTCCGGCGAGAAGGGAGACAGTTCCTGTTGCCCTACGAAGAGCTGGATGGCGGAAAGGGCCAGGTAAAGGTCGCAGCCATCAACCCCGGAGATGAAGAAGCAATGGCAGTTCACCGCCATGCACTCCAGGAAGATGAGGAAGCCGACGCTGTGCGAGAGTTCGCCCAGCAAGAAGCGGACGCCGCCATGCAGGCGGAAGATCCCGGCCTGCTGGCCGACTTGGAGGAAGCGGCAGACGAGCCGGAGCCCCCTGAACCAAGAGGGCTACCTCAGCCGGAAAGCCCCACGGAAGAACAGCGACAGCAGCATCGGTTAACTCACCTGCCATTCGCACCATGGTGCGAAGAGTGTGTGAGCGGGAAATCCCGCCAAGACCAGCACAAGCGAGATCAGTCGACAGAACGAGATCAGGGTGTCTCGGTGGTCCAAATGGATTACTTCTTTCTGTCTCCAGAACGGGAAGAAG